AACAGTCAGATAACCTTATTAAATTACACAACTAGTGACATCTTTGCTAAGAGGCTAATAGAAAAGATGGGCTATTAAACAACAACCCATCAGATAAAGGTAACATATGTGATCAATTTGTAACTTGAGCTTTTGCAAAATTGTTTTTACAACTTTCATATCAACAACGTTTTTATTTTTTAGGAATTAATTCAGTATTCACAGCCTTGGCTAATTCTCCAATACAATGGCCATCAGACACAAAAGTACCAACCCCTCAAATTGTCAATCCAATGTAGCCAATGAAATTAGCAGGCCACCCTATTGGATCAGAGCCATTATCAAAACACAGAGGGACCACAGACTGAATAGGAAGTAAACTCACACAAACAAAATATCTACACTGCCTGATCCACCTGCATACACAGGTGGGAAAAACACAATGAATACTAGTTAGCCTCATTACTGCTCATGCTTGAGTAAATTATGAAAGTACAAGATAAGTTCCACACAGTAACCATAATATGCTTGTTCAATGTCTCCTGCATTTTCACATAATGCTAAGAAGTCACTGGTTTAAATTATTAAAACTCTTATTTTAGACAGGAGGTGTATACTAATTCTGAACCATGTTCAAAATCAAACCTTTCAATTAATTGTTCAGGCAAGTATAGCAACCACTATAAATGGTTTGGGTAAAATAATATTCAAAAGCCTTTAGAGTTGGTTGCCATTTACAGACGTTTGCCCACAATCCATGCGCTCATTTGTAGGCTGACTGGCAGTTGCTGCTGGCAGCGGGTCAGTAATGACCGGTCAGCTGGAGCTCAGCCGGGGTCGGAGGTCAACCTCTGGGTTTCTGTCGGAAGGAGGCTGCTCTTCAACCAACCACTATCACAAAAAGAAACACTCATGCACAATGTCTGTTGACACAAAATAAAGAGGCCCTCTTGAAAAACTGTACATTCTGATCCCTTCAGGCTACACTTCATCGACTACCCCGATGACATTAATGAAGAACGTCCTGCATGATCTGTGGCTTTGCTTTGTTGTTATACTGGCAATAAGTACCAGCAAAGCATATCCTGTAATGGCAGAAGCTTGTACAATCAGTGCAGCTGTGTTTCCATTGCTGAGTGCACTGAGTGTGAATAGACTGGCTGGCAGGAGGGACTTGCTTAAATTAACTTTTGATAAAACTCAGGACTGACTAAGAAAGCTTTTTGATCCTTTCTCTGTTAGAGAAATTAAGCATGCCTGTATTAAATTAAAAAAAGAGAGCTGCGGTTATCATATTAGCTATTTTTCCCAAGAAATCAAAAACAGATAATGGGTCTAGTGATACACAGTTTGAGTCTGTTTCAAGTTTTGTTTGAACTTTGAGCCATTTCTACATCATGCTCAGTCTGTAAAGCTGGTGTTTCTGATACATATCACACGTCATTAGATCATATAGGCTCCACAAATTGTATAGCTTTTTCACTTATCACTTCATTACTTTTCTAAATGAAAATGCTTGAGAAATTTAGTTCACAGCAAAACCATTCATATGCCGATTGGCCAGTCAAAAATAGACTGTGAATGATCTGTGTTAAGCTATATTATATACCAGGACTAAATATAGGCTATGCCTATTAGATTGATGAAAGCATAGCATTGAAACACAGGGAATATGACTCAATCTGACATTACCACAGCTTGAGATATTCCTCATTAGTGATATTAAAAATAAAGACTGCATCAGCGCCACTACAGTAGAATACATTGAATAACTGATTATTGATTGTAGGTTGTAAATGTAGACATAGCCTCAGACACATATGGATCATATTCCTTTTCAAGATGTGTCAGTCCAAGCCCAAAAACGCTTACCTGAGAGAAGAGCACTACAGTCAACTTTTGGAGTTGGAATACTGTTCTAAAAAATGCTATCAAAATCAAATATTTCCAGTAGATCAGATGCGCTGCAAAGTAGTCCGTGCAGGCGTGGCTGGGAAACATAAATCAGCCAAGGACCCTTGATCAAACCAATGCTCTAACGTTATATTTCGATATCACGACAAGGTTCACATTTACGAGGGGTGACTCACTGCACACCCATGTGAGCCACAGCGATGATTTGCATTCATGCCCTTCGTTCACAAATGCCTGACCCGAATCACTCAATCATACATCCACACAATGAGAGAACATAAACGTGCAAACTGAAAACAAGGCAGGCAGTTGAGTACAGTGTAGACTCAATAAATATAAACTCATCGTCTGCGATGTGCTCCACCCTGATTTTCCAGCCCTGTGCCAACAAACCCCATGAAGTCGCAGAGATGATGGCAGCTACAGCTGAGCATCCACCAGTGTGACAGCGCGGAGGGATCATTCTCAGGAGCATGTCATGTTAGAAAACTGCAGCATGGTTGTGTGATGTTCCGTTACACTTATGTGCAAAGCAAGTATACAAACCAGGCGGAGTATATCATCTGATACAGCAGTGGTGTGAAACTATAGCGCCTGCACAGACACACAACAACCTTTCCACCCACAATGATAGCAATAACATGTTCATCAGAGCTCACTTTAGATGCTAGTGGTACCGTCGTGTGATCTACATTATATTTAGGTGTCGCTGTTGTTGACAGGCTGCACTAACGCAACCCTAAACTATGCTAATTACTGATTATTACTAACTTGGGACGGACGCCTAATGCAGCTGTAATTTCCGATGGCCCTGACATATCTCACACACTGCCATGTTTTCACCTCGGTGCTCGCTGACCATTTTGGTCGACATGACGACGGTGCCAGCCGGTGTCTCAACGTTATCTATGGCCATTAGCTAATGTTAGCTAAAGTTAACGTTAGCTAAGTTAGCAGTCACAAAGTTAGCTCGTACGTTCACTGTAACAGCGACCAGAGCCTCGTAATATGCACTCAAGCTCAAATGGCTACAATTACCTTACAGAACAGCTAACGATGGCAGACTTGTTCTCAATATTGTTTATCTGGACTCAAGGATAAACTCCGCTGACAAGGTACCTGCTGCTCCAGTCCAAGCGGCCTATCCGCCATTTTGAGACATAAAAAGGAGGTGCAAAAATTACAGCCACATCGTCATTTTCCCCCACCTAACGCCAGATTCCTTCGACCCTGACCGGCTTCACAAGAGAAAACTATTTGGACTCACCCTATTGTTCCTGCCTGTGAATATCCTCAGCCGTCTTTAACGCTAACACGACCCGACAGGGCGTGAAATTTCCGCTCCAAAATATGATCTTGTGATGTGGAGGTAAAGTGTGCCCGTCTTGTCTCTACGCCGCTCCTCGCTTGTTTTTCGTAGGCTACCGCATTCGCCTTCAGACGGGAGCGCGCACGAGATCGCGTTCACGGTCTTACGGGAGCGCGCACGCATTTGATAGCAGAACATTTTTCTGTTTTTAACTCTTTAATGACTTCTCAGCATCCCTGCACTTAGAATTACATTATTGGTGTAAAGTAGATTTACTTAAGAACTTAACTTGAGTATTTCAATGTTTTGCTACTTTGTACTTCTGCCAGTACTTTTCTTACTCGAGTAACCTTTTTTTTCTTCCGGGCAGGACTTTTACTTGTAGGTTGTATGACTGACTCAGAAACTTGTCATTATTGGATCTATTTCTGTACAAAAGAGGCTAGTGTTTCATACTGGAAATGTACACTAAGCTAAATGTAATTTACAGTGTTGAAAGTAACAAGGAACTAGTTTCATGTTCAAGTCATCAGTAAAATAATCTTTCAAGGAAAATTGCATAAGTTAAATTATACAGATTCCACATCTGAGTTATCAAAACCCCAAACAACATTATTTCCTAGTTTTATTGTATTCATTTTAATATAAAAGCAGACTCAAAACAAAATATAATAATATTATTTTGTAAAGGACAACACACATAAACCATACATCAGGGGAAGCAGACTCAATACACTTGGCCTAAGAAGCTTTGCGCAGAAGAAATGTCAGCTGAGAAAACATAACAATCTTCATTTACTACAATAAATGCAAAATAGTGGGCACCAGTTGGGAATAGATAACGTTATTTATTACAGACACACATTTAGGACCCATATCTGAAAATAAAGGAATACTTTTTTTGTCTGCATTCATTTGTCATTCTGGTTAATATGCATATTTCACACTGGTTTGTTTTCCTACATTTAGATTGCAAGTAGCCTAAGTGTGAATGGTAGGAAATTGTGTGTGAAATAATATACTTAGTTTGGTCCTATACACCATACGTGTTCTTGTATTATTAATATCTGAAGCTATTGTCTAATAAAATGTAATACCATCTCAAATATGTTAACACTAACAGCTGAACTATTCAAAACACATGTTAAACTGAACTCTAGTGGGGCGAGCTATGACTAAATCCCTGTGCTGAAGAGCAAAAGTGTATCTCTGCAGATTTAAAAAAATAAATATTTCTCAGTACGTGTATTGTATATAATGTTATAGAAACATCAATCGGCTCAGAAAATGTTCAACAGGTAGCATTGTTTTAATTGTGGGCCATATGACTAATATTCTGGTGGGAAAATCAATTACCTCATTCTAGTTTTTGTCAAAGTCAACTGAAACCTGTGTGTATGTATGTGCAAGTGCACTGTAACATCTCCTGTCATTCAGGTCAATGAATGTCCTTTAAAATGAGACAAATGTAAGTGTGCCACCTTTTGGACTCTGTTGGTATTACTGTTTAGCAAGACGCGTCAGCAAGAGAAATAGTAAATAAAAACAGTTACCAGGAACCCCAAAAAACCAAATCAGTTGGTATATTTTTATAAATTGTTAAGTTATTACCCAGTATCACCCTGGTTTCATTCAGAAGCATGAAATGCTAAATGTCCCTTCTGTGGGACGAATGAAGGTATTCTGAATCTGAAAATAGGCACAACACACACCACGCTGTGCTGTGCTATTGATGTACTGTCATCATATTTTTGGAGCACTAACAGGGTTAGTAGTAATAACTGATTCACCCAAACTATAGAGATCACCTCTTGTTTTTAATACCACTCTTAGTTTCAGGTAATTCAGCCTGCACAGAAAGGAGTCCATCTTGCATGTCTTGTGCCAAGTTCAAACTGCATTTTCGAAAAACAATCAGCTCCAGCACCAACTCTCTATTGCTTTAATCACATACATTTAGACACCGCAACAATTAAGTAACAAATTGCCATGGGAGGGAAACATTGCATGTATACAAGCGCAAACAAACCTTTATCAGTCTTTTTTTGGTACAGCACATTGAGGCAGCCCTTCTTTGCCCACTTTTGGATGTGCGGTGGACATGATCACATATCCAAACTGCAAGAGAAAGTGCTCTAAATGCTGCTCAATGAACAGACACTCCTGGCTGGTTTTTATCTCAGATACACATGAGAAGATGACCCAATAATGGAAAACAAAAAGAACAAAAACACCCAGCAACAATAAATCAGCCATTACTACCAATGCTGAACACCTGTCTAGTGATGATGAGTAATCATTTCACTACCAATTCATACATAAACAGATTTACAACATTAGTGGCCATGAATGTTTTAAGAAAAGAGGCATCAGCCATCCAACAGGTTTACTATGAGTAGAAAAATAAAACATTTGGAAAGCCAATGTTTGCTTAGCCTCTATTCAAACTATGCAGCAGCAAAAGCAGCAGCAGCCCTGGCCGGTAGATGTTATGTTGGACTACACAAAGACACACACACTGTCACACATACAAACACATACATGCACATATTCTTTCAATGTGTAAAAATAGAAGATTGAACACAGCTAGTATATAGATAGATAAATGTACTGCTTAAAGGTGGACGTTTTCAAATCTGTGTTTTCCATAAACAATCAAGTACCTGTCTAAATCCGATAGAGATTTATACATATTTTTCTCCACTTCTATACATTTTCTATAAAACAGACATGGTTTAAATTAATTAATTATTCATGATAACAGGCGTAAAATACCATTGCATTTCTCCTGTGCACTTTTACAAAACCCATTATATACTAAAACAAGAGAAGAAAAAAGAATTCCAGCAAATGAAATTAAACCCATTAAAGCTCACTACTTTCCCACTGTATTGGTTTGCTTGCTTGAAGGAACATGAACCAGAGCACATAGCAGGCACCCACCTGGGATGTTGAAAGTATAAATGACAGAAAGATGAAATGTGGTAACCATCGGTGATGTGCAGGCATGACGGGTGTCTGCTGTAAAGTGGTTCAAAGAAGCCATGAAGAAGGGAATTTACATTCTGAAGCCCTACTTGAAAAATCTCAAATTTAGTGACTGTATTCTGGTCTTAGTGCACAAAAGTACCCCTGAGTTTTAGGACAGGGAAGATGCTTTATCATTTAGAGCACCGTTGTGGGGGGTGGCTACATAACCGGGGTCTATGAGGCTCTTTTGGGAATGGCGGGGCAAAAGATATGGTCCTGGGCTAACAGTGCTGTGGGAATTTTGAGCTGAGAAGAAGCATTACTGGGGGAATACGGTGCAGTGGATAAGGCTCATGTTTACAATGTCATGATCATCCTTGGTCACCCACCCCTGCCTGCAACCACTCTTTTATATATGAGGTCATATTTCTAAAGCAGCCAACACCTAAACGTGACTTCACATCACCAGGTTCTTGGACTGGGGATTTTTCAGATTGCATGTTACATTGACTTTAGATTTGTACTTTCTCCTCCTTCCCTTCCTACCTCGTAGGAAAATCCCCGCTCTGTATTCCTCTTTCCTACAGTTCATACAGTTTGTTCTCTGGTCTCACCTGACCCTTCCCTCCCCGTTTATTTCAATGCTGATTTAGACCGCTCGGTTTCTGGGTCCACAGGCTCAGTGACATGGCTGTTGGGTCACGGCCTCTCCCCGCCCCCCCATAGCAGAAAGTAGCTGTGTTGAGGGCTTTGTACACTAATCAATGGGAATTTTGTCATCCAGTTCCAGTGCTCTGTCCTCAGTGGCCTCTTCGAGCCTCCCCAGCTCCTGCAGCTGCTGCCGCCTCTGCACCTCTGCCTTCAGGTTCTCCAGATCCTTTTGGCTGAAATGCAATACCAAAAAAGAAAAAAGTCAATATCCGACTGCCTGTTGAGGCATTTCTGGTATAGATTAACCATTTGAATTTTTTGGTCTTTTATTTATAAACATACTCCGATATGTTATTTCCACCAAGGCCTCGAATATATAAAAAAGCTACTGTCGAGTTCACATCTACAATGACTAATCGCTTAGCAGATAGGCAGAAAATGTAATTGCATTTTCAGTCATTTTTATGCAATTCTGCAGAAATTCTATTTTCAGCATCTCCAATCTAGATATTTAAATGTTTTTCCTTGTTTAGACCACTTTAAACTAGATACAGTGTCTAAGTTAGTAATTTACAGACATAACCTCTGACTTAATCTGACAAACATTAATCATTACTGGCTGAACTGTCAGGGATAACTTAGTCACATAATAATCCAATATCATACTCCTGGAAATTCATAACTTAGTGTTTAATGTCAGATTTCTGTTAGGAATAAAAAAAGGCGATGCAGGTGTTCAGGGCATTGTGTACCTGAGCGGTATGAAGATGATGCCGTTGATAATGTTGAGCTGTTCCAAGACACTGGCCATGCTGGGAGCAGTGAACTGCAAAAAACGAGGAAATAAAAACATGTCATCACTGCTAAATGGTGGCGATGAAACAGATAGAAGCACAGAAACACGTCCTGAGTCGGTCAAACGATTTACCTTGAGTGGCGTGATGCTGGCGTTGGAGCCGTTCTTGTAGATCTCGTTCATGGTTCTCTGCAGAGATACTGCCTGCTGGGTGAGATACTTCAGGTACTCAGAGCTCTCCTTGGTCTTCTCATGTGCCTCACCCATCTGGGAGGAGAGGAAAAACAACAAGACGAAATTAATTCATCAAGACTGACAAAAGAAATGTGCGCCAGGCGGTGTGTAGTTACGCAGGGCGCACCTGGTTCTTGTAGATGGTGTAACCCTCCTTCTCGTGCTGCAGCGCAGAGCGGAACTCAGCTTTGCTCTCGTAAACCCTCGCAACCAAATGATGGCTGGAAAAAGAAGATGAAACAAGGGCCAGATAAATAATAATGTCAGTATAACTACTTTATGCATACAGACGATTCATCTTTCCTCACCTGAGGGCCACTTTGAGGGACCGGGCTCCATGGTACTTTGTGTTGATAGTCAAGGCGTTCTCCAGGAATCTCAGCGATAAATCATACTCCATTACACCGTGCAGCACCAGACCAATGTTACTCTGTGGAAGAGCACAAAGACCAAGGAAAGCAGTCATTTTAATTGTTCCTTTTATCTTTTTTTAAGGGCTGGTTTCACTTCTTTTTTTTTTTTTTATTACACACATTTTGCCATTGAAGAATTATAATTTGAGCCATCCAGTAAGAATTCATAAATCCTGAAATCAGTTTTTTTTAAATACGCCTTTTCTGATGGTTGTTTGAAGCTTTACCACGATGCCTAGACCAGTGGACACCTAAAGGCTACTGCTTTAGGCTCAATACTAAATGTATACATAACATTTTTAAATAACACTTCTGGTTAGATCTGGTCTCTTTAACAATTAGCATTTGTTCACTGAGAACCAGCTCTAGTCTTTTGAGTGTGAGGATGGAATTATTAACTTATTCTGTATCTGCATTACTACAGAAGCAGTTTTTCCCCCCTTCATATAAACAGTAAAGACTGAACTCACGTCTAGCAGTGCCATCTCGGGGTGGTCTTCCCCGGAGACCACCAACATGAGGTAACGGGCGCGGTACAGCAGCTTTAGGGCCGTCGACAGCTGGCCGTTGGCAAAGCAGTACAGAGCCAAGTGCATCTGGGAACAAACAGGAAACACACATATAGGTTAACGGAGAAGGAATCATCTTTAGCATGAACCAAAGGCTTCTACATCTGGTGTAATAACTTACATATTCTTGAACGGTGTTGGGGTGCTCGATGCCCAGGACTCTCTCACTCATCAGAACAGCCTTCTGCTGGTTACTGAGAGCCTGTGGGCGAATATAAAAAAAAGAGGTCATTTGGTGACATAACATTTAAAAAAAAAACACAAAGTTAGAGTTATTATATTTTTGCCTACCTCAGCGTGGTCTCCCATGATATAGTTAAGGCGTGCCAGCAGGCGCAGGCAGGCACAGATCTCCACATGCATGGCTCCGTACACATTGTTGAAAAGATTCAGAGCCTCGTTGATCAGCTCACATCCCTCCTTCAGGAAACCTGGACGTGCAAAGAAAGGGGAGTAAGATACATTTAGTCGTAAAGACAGAAAGTATAGATTTTAAATGTGGTCAGAATCTATACCAAGTAGGTTTACTCAAGGAATTTGCTTTAGAGTATATTGCTGCAAAAATAAACACAGTAAGATCATTTTTTGTTGTAAAGTTTGACAAAACATAGAAAATAGATATTGTAAAACTATTATACTAAAAAGACTTAACGTTTTTTTTTAAAGTATACAGAAAAGGAAATATAATAAGACTATGGCAATGAAATAAATCACCATTTCAGAATTAAAAAAATAAAAGAGCTGTGCAAAAATAAATGTGAAAAATTGGGAAATAAATGTTCAATTCAATCTTTCAAGAGAAGACGTGTCTTGATATTAGCCTCTTTGATATTACATTTCTTGAAATAAGACGCTTTGACACAAGGCTTTTTCTCGCGGGTTACCTTGCTGCACTTTGGCCTGGCCGCTCTGGAAGAAGTGGAAGGCATCTGAGGCTTTGGGGTTCACATGCTTCACAACAGGGAAAATATTCAGGATGTCCTCCTCTGTGAGGGCAGGCTTGTGGCGGCTGTCAAAGTTATACTCCTTTAGGAGAATCTAGAAGGAAAATGAGAAGAGGAAGACATTTAATGAAGGTCATTTGGTAGGATGACATTACAAAAAAAAGAAAGAAAAGAAGACCGTTACCTGGATCCCAGTTTTTAAGGAAATCTCTCTGAGCAGAGTGCTTTTCTGGAGGCCGTATTTCTCCACGACCAGGTCCACACTTTCACTGCACAACATAAAACAATTAATTTGTTAGAAATAAACACATAAAAATAGAAACACTTCTTAAAAGAGAGTCTTCACATCAGAAGGGCCCCTCACCACTCGATGGTGAAGTGATAGTAGCTGCTGGCCTCGGAGGCGATGTTCTTCCACATCTCGCTGGGCGTCAGGCTGGCCCACGCCGTGTTGTCTCCTCCGCCTGGGACCCTGTTGCGACGTTTGCGGTTTTTGCGGCGTGAGACCAGCTCGTCGGGAGGCAGGTGGGCGACAGCGTCAGGGAAGGAGCTCAGGAAGCAGTTTAGGAAATGGCTTACAGCGGCAGAGAGGGCAGACAACTCCACACCCTGAGAGGAGGAAGAATATGTTAATTTCTCTCTTATTTATCACTTTCTTTTGTCCTTTCTTTTTTTGGTGCACAATGTGTCAACCTAATATCTCAATTATATAGCATTGTACAACTTGTTAAGAATCACAACAAATTAAGTAAACAAGGAACAAATACAAATATTTTGTGGATCTTAGGTAAAAATGTATCAAACAGAGGTCAAGAAATGTTTGAATAAACACGTACACAAGTATAGGATGCTAATAAATACACCTTGTAATGATTTGTATGAAAAAATAAATAAATAAGAAGAAAAGAAAATATGTTAAATCCAAACACATTATTCTTTTACAGATTAATAATAACCTGAAATGTTACCAACCTGGAGGTATGTCTTGAAGAAGTGTTTTGCACATCTGGTGATCATCTCAGTGATTCCTATTCTCTAAAGTATATACAAAAATACAAATATTAGAAGGAAAAACCACTAAAATAAAAGTAAGGGACCGTGCTGGTTAGATATAGACTCACATAGAAGTGCTCCAGCTGGGCTTTGGCCGGGGTCTTGTCCACAAACTCCAGGACGTTGCCCAGATAGCGGACGTTGATGCCTCTCTGGTGCAAGGCCTCGGTCAGTGTGGCTCCATCCATGGGCAGAGCGCTGTGGTCCAAACAGTCTTTAACCTGGTCATAAAACACACGCATGGATTTAAACTCAGATAAACAACAAGAGAAATGAAAGCCCTTTATGAGTTGTATCTGTGGGCAGTGTGTGTCACTGACCAGTGATGGGATCTGACAGGAAACCAGGAAGGCTGCAGCGTCTTTGAGAAGCTGCTTCTGCTTCTGGATATCATCTGCAGCATCTTCTGGGAAACGTACTCCTGGTTCAACAACACATGCACACACATTAAAGGCTGCTATTGTCCAGTAAAGAGTAACTTACTCTCTCTCTCATCAAAAATGTAACACGAGCAACAAGGAATTTAGACACTGACATATCTGACAGTTCAGTGACATTAAATAGTTATCTTTCTAAGGTTATACACGTTGTTTCATAATGTATTAAAGGTCCCCTAATATACTGTTTTTCACCAATATATTAAAGGTCTCATATATACAAAACAGGTCTCTGAAGTGTTTTGCTCGAAATACCAAACACCTATTGAAGCCCCCTGTTTCAAAAGTGCTGATTCTCTGTCTGTTACTTTAGATGAAAATAAGGAGCCACTCCCCACGCCCCTCTGAGAGATATTTAGTTAAAAAGAACACAATGGTGCGGTCACCTTGGTTGGTTATTGGCTAATGTTTACACAAGCCAAAAAATCGTTATGACATCATAAAGTGGCAGGTTTTTATATAAATGGATCAGGACAAAAAGTGAGCGAATCTTTTTTCCTGAAACTTTCAGAATCTCTTTACACAGAGGGGACACATGTTTATGAATAAAAGACATGAAAAAGTGGATTTTGCATAATAAGTGACCTTTAAAACTTCATCTCTAAATCAAATTAGATGACCAATTCTCAGCTCAAAAGACTTGTTTAATTTGTCTCGCACTGGTTGATTAACATATGGTTATTAATCCTTGTGCTCACCTGGGGAGAAGATGTCGGGGTTGAAGCGAATGTCAAAAGATGTGTTGCTGATTGAGCCGACTGCCTTGCAGGCATTCAGGACGACCTCGCGGCTTTTGGGATCTATTTTTGATTAGGATCACATACATCGAAAGATGCAAACATTTTAAAAGTGACGACGACACACAGTTTAGTCATTGTAAATAAAAAAACTGAGCTTCTGTAGCCCCAAACAGACAGTGGAAATGTTGTAATTCAGGTGATTTTCAGCATTGAATAGTGATTTAATAAGCCTACTGTAGACATCGTACCCACCACCCTTGCAAAGTTATCAATAAACAAGCGCTCAACATATAATCGACAAATTAGGCAGATTACTGTGATTTAGTATCAATCGATTAGCAGCACACACACATTAGATTATGTTTGCATTCCAATATACATTTTGATTAATGAACAACAGTTATTAATTGTATTGGGTCAAATCCCACCGCAAAGGCATCACAGGGCGGGGCAATTAGAGAGGGGCTGATTGGGGTCAACACTCTCCCCCTGCAGGCTGAGGACTGACAGGGACAGCTAGCCTGGTGGAAATAAGCCACTATAACCCAGTGCTTTATATTTCAATGCTCTACTGCTCTAGCTATATAGACACACATATTCTAAAATCATCTGCATCAATACAGATGCTTGAATATCACTTTGTCTATGCAATGATCCACCAGAGTAGCTCTCCCTGCGTTGTCCTGGCCTTATATTTTGGGGGATTTTCTGACGTACCAATACAAGATCCATCTTCAGCAACTAAGGTCTGCGCCAGCTCTTTGGCCTGAGCCAATCCAGGAATAATTTCCTCAAGCTCCTTACCCTCCAGTGGGCTCTTGTATTCCCCGTTCTGAGGCCTGTTTGCGGTGGGCTTTGAGGATTTGTCTTCCCCTTCAGTCGCTGCCTGTGAAGCAGCAGAGGTATTGTTCTCTGTCTGGCTTGGGCTGTCTGTGGAGGCCTCTGTTGCACTGGTAGACTCTGATGCTGGGGTCTGGGTCGTCTCTGCTTTGTTTTCTGTGGGTGTTTCAGACGTTTCTGTGATGGCGGGTACATTAGCTTTAGCGTCCTTGTTTGCTTTCTGTTGCATGAGCTGTAATGCGGCCATCTTCATGAAGAGAAGATATCTGCGAAGGATGAAAAGATAGTAAACGCATGTATAAACTCTCCTGATGATGCTAGGACGCCCGACAGCGCAGACTCTTACCTGTGCTCAACGAAGGCCTCAATGAGCTCTTGGCGTAGACAAGCCAGGCGGTGGCGGTGTGGGCGAGGGAAGCCTTGGCGCTGACTCTCTGGAGACAGCTCCTCTCCATCCACAGGCAGGAAGTTGAGGTCAGGAGGGAAGGTACGGAGAAGGTCCAGGATGTAATGTCGGCCATCATTTCCGGTAATGCCCTTACATTCGACCGAAGAGCACAGCTCCACTGCCTCGTCCTTCTCATTCAGCACGTTGTGCCTCTGGACCTAACCAGTACACCCAGTAAAAGCTAATATTAACTTGTTGGAGAGACAGAGGATCTAAATACAATCAGAAAAACAGTCTTTAAAGAATAAAGCTGACGATATTCTACATCTTTGTATGTGTCATCAAACTAGTATGTCTCATCAAACTAGTATGTCTATCTACTTGCACAAAATATGCAAGCTCTTCATTTAACTGACCTTGAGTGGCCGGCTGGTTTTCTCCAGCAGCTCCAGGTATTTGCTGTGAGACACGACCGTCTTTCCGAAGTCGATGGAGCCGTAGATGACGCTCTGCTCCTGCTCTCGCTCCAGGATACCCGGGATGATGGACTGAGCGGTGACACGGTAGCCTCTGTAGTCCACCACCACCGTCCCCAGAGTGTACAGACCCTCCACATCCACCGCCCCGTACGCCCGGACTCCATTCAAGTCATTGGTGGGTGCAGCGTGGGCGGCAGCATCTCCACCCAGCTCAAGGTAGTGGTCCCGTACATCGAAGCCCAGGCTGAAGAAGATGTTGTTCCAGATGAACATCTGCATGCGCGTTTCCTCCCCTGGGTTGATGGCCATGACGTTGCCATCAATGACTGCCATGGCTCCTCGTGTGGCAGCTGCTGCAAAGTCACTGTGGACCTGCAGGTGAAAAAAGAAAAAGGAGTAATTGGTAAGTGAGAAGAATCTGTTACACATTACTTTGAGCATTAACAGAGTGACACAGCAGTTTTCTGCTCCAGTATCATCTGGTTGATCTTGTGTTAATTGTGTACCTTGAAAATGGCCCTCTCCCTCAGCAGGCGTTCAGGCAGGTTCTTCCTGGGCAGCTCTCTGGTGGTCTGCAGCTCCTCGTTCCAATCTCTGGTCTGAAGACAATCAGCACAAACATGTTTTTATACTGGAATGACTAGACATCTTTTTTCTGCCTGATGTGGTGCTTAGTTCAGATGATCCCACCTGTCCAGGTATGTGCTCCTCGTAACCCAGGCGGGAGGTGTAGGCGTCTTCAGCTCGAACACAGTCCATGGCGTGGTCTACCTGCGGAGCTGTCCAGCTGTACACCTGGAAGGGTGTTGCTATCCTCTCAAACGGATGCCTCTGGACCCTGCAGCAAAAACGCAGCATAATCATTTAAAAAGGCATCCTGTGTGGGGTCTTTTGCTCTTGTTGTAGGCAGTTCCTGCATCATCACAATTGTAGCCAAATGAATGACAAAACGACAGCCTCCTGACCATCTTTCTTGTAATAAATGCTATATTTGAGTTTTCTTATTGTTCTTTAGGACTGTGACCTTCATGCCAGGACTTGACTGTAAACTGTTTTGTTATTGCATTGTTAAAAAAAGTCAAATGAAGATTAGAATAGAAGCACTTTAAAAAGAAAAACAACAAGACTTAAAGAGACAGGAAAATGAAAGGAGAGAGAGGGTTAGACATGCAGCAAAAAGTGTGTATGTCAGACATAAAACCAGGCCTCTGCAGCAATTTGTCGTCTATTAGACATAGACATGTTTTCATCAATAGGGGGTGAGAAATTACATGGTTCTCTAAATTATTCAAGCACAATGAAGTCATTTAGCATAAAGTGAAGTTATCCACTGGCAGTAAATGTGTTTACCTTTTCTTTTGCAGGGCAGTGAAGTTCTTCTTGAAGGCAGGGCTGATCTGGCTCAGCAGCTCCACCAGAGAATGGCTCAGGAAGCTGTGATTGGCTGGCTTAGGGTTAAAGGTATATGTAGTAGATCTGGAAGACACACATGGTTGGTTATTATGTTTTGTTTGCTCATTTAAATAGGGAACTTCACTGCTGAATAAACAATATGAAATATAAAATGTTCAAGTGAAGCTAGAGAAATATTTAATGAAGATTACTATATATTCACACTACCATATTGAGATCTTGAAATCTAAAATATTTCACATTACATTTGGACACATTTGAGTTAGTATGTGCTTGTTATTATTATTTAGACAAAGTCATTGTGTAACACGATGTCTTTGTTAATTTTCTCATCACAATGCGATTCCATTGAACGAGAATCATATAATCAGCAGAATAAAATATTGCTCAGCCCTGCATGAGAGGAACTTGAAATGGCTATGCCCAAAAACCATAATGCAGGTTTGAAATTCTTGCTGGCGTCCAAAATGTGCATTCTGAAACTGTTAATGCCAAATGAATGCCAAACGCTCCGAGTATTAGCTATGTGTACAGAGATTATACTGCTTAAAAGCTTGAGACTCCAGTGCAGGAAAAACACAAGATATGCATGTTGACTGACTGGTTGAGGTAGAAGCCGCGTGTCGAGGCAGTGATGCTGATGTGGCGCTCCTCCACCGTCACCATGTACAGGTACATCAGGTCACCGTGCATCTTCCTGTTTCCAGGGGGAGGGTTCCAGCCGCTCATGGTCAGGACCTTCAGGCACTGCATCGGCTGTGGAAGCAAAATAAAATACATTGAAAATGAGTCTCTAACTCTACTTAAAACACTTACTCAACACTACGTAAACATTTTCCTATAAATTGTATTTTGGTCGCTGTCAAATCTACACACGTGCAACATGAAGGTTTAACATCTTGCATACAGTGGCAAAGACTGTAACATCATAGCCACACACACATTAGGGTGGTCCTTAAAATTGAAGTTTAGCCTCAGTTGCAGCTCCATGGCTGCTGGTGTGGCAGCCCAGGTCGATGAGGGAGGGGTAAAAGGGGTCAGATTGAGTACAAAAATTCACCAGGAGAGTTTTCTTGACTAATAGAATGAATTCTGGGGGTTGGCGCTTAGACTTTCCGACTTTCAATTTTAAGGACCACCCTACTGAGGCTAAACTTCAAGGTTGATGAGGGAGGGAGTAAATGCTGTTGGAATTTGAATAAAATTCACCAGGAGAGTTTTCTTGACTATCATAACAAATTCCGGTGGTTGGAGCTTAAAATAAATGAATTTGAAAATGTACATGGCACTAAGGACCACCCTAATCCACATTGGTGTGAAAGTTTATTAAATGTAGTCTTAATTCAATATAATCTTGCAGTTATTTAATCCTTATAAACTGATGTGTTAAGTTTAAGGATGAAAGGCATTTACTACACTGTAGTCAATGAGTGTGTGGCAGGACAGAAGTCTGTGTGAAGATGAACAAATTGACATGAGGTTGTCAGAATGTAGGTGTGTGAGTTCCTGCCTATATGAAGGCATCTGGCACAGGAAGTGTTTTACGATGCATGCAAGTACATTAGTTAAGCCAATCCATTGTAAGTGCTCCTGCATGGTCTTCAAATAAGCCAAAACTTGTTATAGTAGGACCAAATGTAGGGCAGAGCTCACTGCTTCTCACCTTCAAGTCTTTGTTCTGGGGCTGGAGAGGCAGCAGGGGGCGATCTTTGCTGCCGGGCAGGATGTGCTCTGGGGGGGTGCAGTCAATCTGCTCCAGCTCGTTGCCCTTTTTCTTTCGCTTACCACTATCTGTAGACAAATAAAATCATGCCATGTTAACATCTTCAGTCCGCCTACATGTTGCAACAGTCATGACACTGTACATTAAAAGAGATGATTAGGATTGTTTTAAGTGGGGTTGTATGAGGTCCTCATCTATAGTCAGTGTATTACCTACAGGAAATGACGGTCGAAAGAGAGTGGCTTATTTTAGCCACATAAAACAAAGGCCCACCCAAAATCATCAATATTGGTTTCAGTGTAAGCCATTATAGAAAATGTTCACCGCTATTAGACAGCCCTTTCTTATTAGGGACTGAAGTGATGATAGGCTCTCTGTAAAGCATTAAAGAGAGCCTTTGAACCATTACAGTGAGCATAGATGAGGGCTTAGTAATCTGTTGTAACACAATGAAAATATTGTGAACATTTTTTACATTTTTTTTAGGATGGGCCTTTCTTTCAGGTGTCTAGAACACATTTTGCTACTGACTGTCAAAAACAGCCTTAATTCTGTGCTGGTACTTTAGTATGTTTCTCCAGACCAGGGGCAAGCTGACTGCCATGCACTGTATGATTATTACCTCATAGAACCACACTGTAAACAATCCGAACTTCCCCTTAACCAGTTAAGCCCCAAGCCTATTTTTCAGGTCTCCGGCTCGAAAATGACATTCCCAGAACAAATGATTATCTTCACTTCTAAAAAGGGGTAAATTAATAATCTTTTTTCTCAAAGCAATGATAAACCTGTGAGTTGGATGTAGAACAGTCAGGATCAATATCGATGTTTTTTATTTTAAAGTAAATTCAGATTGAACATAGTAAACATTTTTTAATTATAGTGTCCGTCCAAAAGAAAAACATTACTTATAGTGAAAACCAGGGTTCGAGTTACATGGGAGCCAATGGGAGCTGAGCTCCCATAAGGAGGGGCCTGAGCCAGTGAACATCTGTGGGGGTCTGCACCTCCAAGGTGCGCAATACATTATTGCGCAATCTATGCCCGTGACTGTGTGCGTGCGCACGCATGCACGTGCGCTAGTTTTAAAGACCCCCATAGAGCTCAGTTTATAACTCGAATCCTGGTGAAAACCACCCTTGAATGATGGGATAGTAGACTAAAAGCTTTAGGAATCCAAACTATAACATATAATAAGTACCCTGTATCAAGATTGATGCAAAATAAGTGACATTCAACCTTTTTAGAGAGATTTAGCACAAAAAAAACACTTCTGGGGTCATTTGGGTGGATTTGCCATATCTCTGGAACCCATCGGTCTATTTTGATGATTGACACCTCTTTTGAACCATTAGAGCCAATAGAATTGAGGGGAAGTCCCTAAACTCCATCTAAACATTACCCATTGGTGAATGCATGCCAGTACGCCCAAAACCGGAAGCTGGGTTGTATTCCTCACACACTATATGAAAACAACAAATCTCAGTTTTTGACAAAAATGGAATGATGGATTATCAGTAAGATAAAATAAGATGGTACTTTATTGATCCCAATTTGGGAATTGTTGCGTGTTGCAGCAGCATAAAAGACAAGGCATTTTACAATAAAACAAAACTAGAAATAAACAAGAAAATATACATGTTGAATTTGACAAGATATTATATATACAAATAAATATATACATACATATATGACATATGGAATATTAATATTAAATATTGAACAAATTTGTATGTAATCATTTCAAAGTGACACAGACACATTGGATTAACCTTCAGCAGCATTTTTATCGTTTTAATGCCATTGAACACAACTTTTGATCAGATAACAGCAAAGGTAAGACATATTTGCCGTTTTTGCTCAGTAAAGCTACGCTGTGTATTGTCTGGGTTTGCCTGAGTTTTGATCGCACAGTGATTATACTTATACCGAATCTGTGGAATCTCAGCTTTAATCTGATATCTTGTTTGTGCAGATCCGATAAGTAATAAAGTATTTATACCGTGAGTTCTGTGCTAAGTGCGTTAGCATTTTCTCGCTCAGGGCTAATTCAGGGGCTCGGCGTTAGAGTTGTGTTTTGTTTCGGTAAAAATGGTTAATATTGTCTGATAGCTGAGTTTCTTCCCGTTAAGCGGGTATGATACATTCATAGTTTGTTAAATGTTAAGAAGCCCTCAGACGCTGTTTCTTGCAAGATACCGGTACCGGGGGCATGGGGCTTAACTGGTTAAGAAATCCCGCTCCAGGATGATAAACATGGCCGTTCATCCCCCCTTAATGTCCCACACGGTGTCATACCTCCGAGGTCTCCATCGGTGAAGACGCTGAGGAAGGAGAGGGAGTTGCAGTCCACTCCGTTGTAGGAGTCTGACGGGTCCAGACTCTTCAGCAGGTCTCTGATGTGGCGCACATGGATGCGGGCCTCGCGCACTGTGTAGGGTTCTGGAGGACATAGAGACACAAGAAACTAAGAGTCAGGCAGTGACACAGCGAGGGGTTTGACAAGAAACCGATCAAGCTAATGGACACTTTAATTATAATTCAATTTGTTTAGCCTTTTGCCAACAGCTGCATATTAATATAACTTACTTGGACAATAACTGTGATTAAAGCTCAACCTTTTCAAGCTATGAAGCAATCTTTTATTTTGCTTCTTGGCGCCACAATAACATCACAAACCCAAGTATAAATAAAGGTCTCTGACCTTCCACCACTTTGAGCAGCGAGCCCTCCTGCAGACCCTCGATGGACTTGAGCTCAGCGAAGTTGTCCAGCACGTTTCCGTCGAGCTGAAGGGAGAAGCAGGTGCGATGGCAGGTGTCCTCCCGGTCCATCAACACCTGATGGATCTCCTGTACCATTTCCTGAGGAGACACCTGATGGCGGTAGGGGAGGGAGAGGAAGATCAGTATAGCTTCAGGAATACATGCAGCTTGAGATATACAACCTGCTATGGATCAGAGGAATTTCCTAGGTTTCTAGTTTGAGGGGAAACATTGCTTGCACATTTGTATTGATCACACTGCAATGCAACCTGGTGTTCAGAATGAAAACAGTCCTGAGCTCAAACCTTATGCTGCACTCAAGACAGAGTCAACGTTTATTTCATTCTTTCTCATAAACTCAACTTCCTAAAAAATTACTTTGGATGTCACACAATAGAAGCATACTTTTAAAATGGCAAACTAACAGGAAAGACAATATATATTTTTCTTTATTAAAGTAGTAAAAGCTGTTCTACAGGTTAATTGATGTCTGGAGGTCGGGTGTAGGACATTTTAACTTGGAAATTCCAACCTCCAAAATGTCTGGATTAGAATTGTGGGTTTTCTAATATAATGTGGAAGAAGAAACATGGCGCTAGTAATTTCCTTCTCTTTCGTAACAGTCGGCAGGTAAAATGCTGAAATATCTCAATTAGGTCACAAAATATTCCATAGAGAATACGATCCAACGAGTTTAGAGCGACAATATCACTGAACAGCTGGCGTGTTGACTGGCTGCTTGAGAGGAGGTAATCCTTACCTGCAGGTCAAATGGCTCTGTTCCAGGCGCCTGGATCTTAACAGTGAAGCCCGTGTCCTGGATCACTATCACTTCCTGTTCGTTGGAATCATCTCCTCCGTCCGCATCGCTGTTTGCATCCTGCTTTGATTCTGCCTCCTCTGCATGATCATGAGCCCCATCACCATTCATTATGGCTGTATCTGCAGTGTGCCCTGCAATGGATAAGACACAAAGGATTGTATTTAAACTTTAGTTGTTCGAGTTAAATTTGACAACTCTGACCAACGATGCAATTTAAAGCACATGTTTATTAATTATTTTCTAGCATAGAATATCAAAAAGCATTAGTCAATCATGTTGCCTTCCTCTTTAACTTTAAAAAAGTATTCACACCGGCGACGACATGTTCGGCTCTCTAGTCAGCACACTGTCTTGTCATGCAGTGTAGTATCAAAGGGTGTAGATGCTGCACTGTCAACTGTAATTTGGCTTAATATTTATGGTCGATTTTTTGTGCATCAACAGTAACAACACCCGTCAATCACAATAAGAAGGGTTTTGGAAAAACAACTCCGTTTTCTACAAATCTTCAGAAGTCATTAGCTTGTAATCTGATTAACAAGTAACACCACCGAGCAAGCAACCTGGCGATGCTGCCAGGCAGAGTCCAGAGTCTGGATAACCCGACCGTAAACCTTATAAAATATTTATGAATGGGTGAACGACAGAGCTCAGGCACGGCTTGCTAGTGTTCCTACAAATGGATTTAACACAAACTGCAGAATGAGCAAGATATGATCTAAACTCTATGACTCGACTTTGATCAATCTGTTCAAGAGTAACTACTCCAAAGAGTTCTCAATAGAAACACCAAAATCAATATTAATGATTGTATCAAAAACCTTTGTCAATAAGTAACCAGGCACTATTTTTGAGCAGGTCTCAAAGGAAACACCAACCTGCTGAAACCAACACTGTTGCGACACTGAGGGGAGTTTAGCCAGGGAGCCTTGAGGGATTGAATACCAAAGGTTTCAGCATTCAAAAGAGAGAATTACTGGTCGTTGCATGACTTGCAAATGTAGTCAGCAACAAACCATTAGCTGCTGTCGTTACACCACTGTGGCATTAAACTTTCTAAATGACAGTTACTCATTATCTTTAAAAACCCAACGTGATTTGTAACACTAAGTTATTCGATGATCTCACTGTAAATTCAACCTTTTCAGAGTAAGTACAGTTGAGGGTGAGAGGCTCTGTGTTACAAGGCGAGCATGTGGATGTCTCACTGGGACACAGCTGCTGGCAGCCCGAGTGTCCTTGCTCAGCGTCAAGGGTAAACAGCGTCAGGGTCGCTGGAGAAAAGGGCCAGAGGGAGGGGTGGAGCCTCATAACTGGACCACGACCCTGGGTGGGAATAAAAGGCACTGAAATGGTGGAGGAGCGGGGGAGGCAGCACAGGAGAGAGGGGAGACCGGCCACGCTCTGAATAACAAACACAACGGCTTCAGAGCCGATACGCAAGTTCATTGTGTTACAAACAACGCGAGAATGTGGGCTTGCTGCTAAGAGTTTCAGTGCAGCTGTCGTTGTTTTCACTAACAGCACACCAACGTTTAAGTTCTTATCAGATCTGAACTGTTTACATCTGAGAGGTTGAAACAATGTTAGCGGATTCCCTCAGTAATTCTTCTCGTTAAACCTGCAAGCACCATGCAAGGCATTCGGTGCTGAGCAGGTCGTGTACAGTGGGGTTTTTAGTGCTTCTCTGCAAGTTACTAACATTCACCACATCAGAGAAGGAAGAGTACAAAGTGCCAGATTTCCGACTGTGATTGATGAAGCAATCCAGCAGTCCATTTGTTGCAAAACTAAAACCCTTTTGCTCCACATTAATGAAAGAAACGTTCAGTAGGAAGGAAGGGAGGGAATGGCCTGGGGATGTTTTACAGTAAACAGGACTAATCTCATGTCTCCTTTATTTCAAATGGAAGGAAGTAGAAATGCAAGATTTTTCCTCAATGCATTTCCTGTTGAAATTATATATGGTTACAGTGAGACAGCAGTTTAATCTGACATTTCTGGGTATCAGTTTTGATAGGGGATATAACTGATATCTAATGACGTGTTTGTTTTAATCATTTTTATTAAAGTTTTATTATTAAATATACATCAACAGTGCATCTACATATGCCTAAAAATAATACTGGCAGGTACGTTGAGTGACATGATAATAAGATGTTTGTCATCCATTATGTCACACAATTGTGATTAGACTCCAGGTTACAAGGTGAAGGGAAATGTAAAGAATCAATTAAACAAGACAAAGACAGATAACATGAAAAACTTGGCCAAAATAAAACACTACAGCAAGGTTTACACTGTAACTGACCCAGTTGTTCTTTCCCAGAAATCAAACTGCCACCTCAAAGCAATTACTCACATGATCTCCTTTCAGAGCATGTAACACTTAGAGCTTTTCTTTGGTACGCTCTTCTATGGAGAAAAACAAAATGATAAATCTAGCGAGCTATTTATCCACTCTGCTACCTTTGACATGGGGACCCTGGCTGCTTCCATGGCAACATTAACCAGCCGGACAACCCTGAAAACTGCAGCAACACAACTCACAAGGTCTGTCTGTAATCACGTTAGCGGCATCACAAGCTGCCAACCTCCTGGTGGACGGACAGACCCCGAGTCATGTTTCTGCAAAGGAATTCAAAGCTGCAAAGACTAAATACAAATATCTGTTTGAGATTTACTCTCTAAATGAGTCACTCCATTCTTCAGTTTCAAGCAATGAGTGATACTCAACACATCCCTGCATGCACCTTGTGACAAGGGGTTGCTTGAAGATATTCCCTCATTCAAATAAGATACAAATGTTAGGTACTGTACTGTTGCTATAAGGGCTGCTACAAACAAGGCCCATCTGTTTGCCAAGGCTTTCGGCCCCTAAATCGATCTGTTGTTTTGTCTGTCTGACTTTTGTTTTGTTATGTTTGTGTTTGCCCTATTACTTGTAAAGCGACCTTGGGTCCCTTGAAAGGCGCTATATAAATCCAAGCTATTATTATTATAAACAATTATTTAAATTATTAATGAATATGTTTATTATTATTATTATTATTATTATCTTGATTCCTTGGTCGAGGAAATGTCAAAACATGGTTGTCCCATTTTTCTCAAAGGTCCATTGTGAGTCTTTAAATGTTGTGCTGTGTCATTGAAAAACACAGATATTCAATGCAAAATATGAAAAAAATAAATGCAGTAATACTCATATTTTAGAGCTTAGAGGAATTTCTGCCATGTTTGCATGAAGAATTGCTTTAAGGAATAATGGGTCAACTAAATTAGAACTACTCATTGCTTCAATGCAATCCCAGGTCATGCAGGATGTGACATGGGGTTGCTTGGCAATGTACCTTTATATTAAGGGGTAAAAAGCTTAAAAGGTAAGGAAGGTACCTTTAAAAAAGGTACAGTAGCTACGAGTGTGGACTGGTGAGGAAGATATTTAGCCATGAGGTGTGTTGCAACTGTTTCAAATGTGCAATGACAGTCCAGTGTATCAACCATGTTCAGGCCATCAATCCAGCCACTGTCTCTCAAACATGAGTTTAATAGGAGGCCACAAGAAGCAGCTATCATTTTCATTATCAACTCCTCAGGTCTCTTTATTAAATCACTTGGGCCATACATGTCAATGTGAAGTACAAGATGACGCCCCAGGTTTCTTGTTGTGTACAAGCAACAAGTTATTATCACATAAGACAAAGAAATGCTGCACAACTGAAAAGCTAGATCTCAAAATAGAAGCTGCATGGCATTTTGCTTTCCAAACTAAACCAAATTGTTAATTATTTAATCAATACACTATTTGTTTAGGCTCTCCAATGAAGCATTAGCATACACTGCTCCATGTGGAAGGACTGGACAGCATAGTTTACATCAATAATCACCCAGCCAAAAAACGAGATTAATTAAAAAGCATTCAGCTCAGCAGTTTATCTTCAAAGTAGCACAAAGTCATCCTTCACAGGTAAAGCAGTGGGGCACTCATGCCTGTGTTTTCCAATGAACTGACACGGGCAGAGACGACTCAAGGTCCCACATGTGACACACGCAGACGCTGCAGCAGCACTGCCTTTAAGTGCTCCACCAATTGTATAACATTAACTTCACATGCTGGCAGTCTAATCTTCTTCTTTATCCGAGTGCTGCAACTCCGCAACCACTACTTTTATCTTCCAGTATACTCACCAGCTTACACGGCTGTTCAAGTATTATTAGCGTAACCTTCCTTCACTGTGCATGCACCATCATGACTTTTTTTTTCTACGACAACCAGCTTCCGCTTCCTGGTCAAGAAGGGACACTCGATCTGATCTTCCCCGGCGGGGAGGAGAGAGGGGCCCGCTTGAGTGTCACGACCGACCGCTGGACACTTCTTCCAACTTACATCTCTTAACGTTCGCCTTTTAACAATCAAAAAACGCAGAGAGGTAACGCATATAACACTTAACTTGTCGGACACAAAGATAAAGTGCGACAGTGTACATGAACCCCCCTGTGATAATGTGCAGAGTGTGCCGCTCCACTGAAGGTGACCTTCAGTTCATTCAAGCTGTAACAGAACATGTGTAGATACGAGCTAGCACAACAGGAGCTGCAGCACTGTGATACGTGAACAAATCATATGATATGCAGACTGTTTGTTTGTTTGTTACAAGAAAATAACTCGTTTTCAGGGTAAGTGCTCTAATGGGCATGAAGCAATGCGCCGACTCACGAGAGCGACTGCTTGCTAGTGAGCCAGCTAACATTAGCCACATACTCAATGAGAAGGCTAATGCCAACATACCGGATAACCTGGGTTAACCTGGTTTCCTTGTAGTGTCAGTCTGAACTTGGACTGCATGCTTATAGCTATGATCCTTGCATGATTAAAGTGTCGGATCCCGATGTTGCTAGCTTGCCAATTAGCACAGATGACTACCAGACAGCTTAGCATATGCTACTAGGTGCAAGGTGGACCCTCTAAACTTGGAGAGGCTAACTAGTAGATGAAGGGAGGTGCATCCCACAGACCACCACCTTGAATTGGGACTGAGGACTTTTAAGTCACATAACAAAGCATGGAATTAAATGTCATTAGCTTTAGTGGATGCTATACAGAGACATTCAACACGACATTTAACAAACCACAAAAATCCGATAAAGCACATGGATGCTGGCTGAAGTTGGCCTAATACTGTGTGTTATATGATGCGAGTTATCAGTGTGTTTATAATGCATGCTAGGTGCTGTAACTTGAGTCAAAGAGGCTTACCACAGCCGCAGGGATCCTTCAGATGTGTCTTGCTGGTTTCTTTGCCGTCCTCCTGGGCTCCATCCCCGGCTTCATCCGCAAGATCAACCGGATTACAGTTAGGCACTGACGCCGGGATGTCATCTGTCTTGCTCACCATGGTGGGCAGTCAGTGTGGCAACAGAAACCCCCCAGCAGCTTAGCTTAAATACGTGAGTCTGAGGTGAAAATACAAAAATATGCTTCTCTCCGGCTATCAGCAGGCTAGGTGGCTACATGCGAAGGGTACAAGCTTACAAAAACAAGTCTACTGAGGAAGGACAGTGCTGTACATGGTGCTGATGATCACACGTGGTTTCCTCCTCCCCTTGACCTATTTGCCTTTGCGTACACTTCCCCACTCACCGAGCATGGCGCTACGGAAAGCCACAAGAGACAAATCGTTTTTACAAACTCATTTGATTTTTATGGGAAATGTTGATTTTATCTTTAGCAATTGAACATAAAAAGTCAACAATGGCTGAGTAGAAAGACAAAGTATAACAATACTATTTAATTTACTTGAGTGATCATTGAAAGTTGGATGTCACCAACTGCTAGCTGTTAACCTCCATACTGTAAGAACTTCAGCTCACTAATCAAATTATTATATACAGCTATAGCTTGATTAACCTGCTTGGAGGTATATATGTATACTGTGCAGTATTTTCCATATTAAGTCAGATAAAATAGAATTTAGTTATTCCCACAGGAAGTTGTTCTCTGTTTAATCCCTTCACCATCATAAAGTGAGCTCAATCGACCCTTCAAAGATACATCATTTCTATTTTTACCCTTATGGTAACTTCAATAGTTAGACAAATGAATACTTAAAATAGTTTTTTAAGTTGAAGCACTTCTACCCTGTTATGAAATAAAACACATCTATGTTGTCCTCAGAAAATAAATAGTCTCTCTCAGAAGGCTCACATTAACATTGATTGATCCTTTACTTTTTTCCTATCATTAAATAATGAACGAGTTCAGAGTAATCTATTCCTCACTACCTAACAAAGACCCAATTTGGGCTTAAAAGATACTTTCTATCAATGTATTAAAGCTGCGGACATGTTGCAGGGTGAATATACAAGTGTTATGACTCCTTTGGGAGATAAAAGCTCCTTCTCATACAAAAGAATACTGAGAATATATGTGTGGCCTGAGAGCTTTTGCAGAAAGATTGCTGTAGAGAGAATGGAAAGAGCTCATTTAAATATATTTTGGTACCATTTATTTTACACCCCGAACCATGTATAAATCATGCAACGTTATATAATTTAATTTGTTGTCAACACAAGAAAATAATTGCGATAACAAAAATCCAGCTCCACATTAGGGCTCAAATAATTGATTGTTTGAATGAGGTTATGGCTAACAATTATTCATTATTTAATCAACTATAGTTTGGTCTATTAAATGTAAGAAAATAAGGAAAAATGCCCTTCCCAGTTTCTGTAACTACAAGGTGATGTCTTTAAATGTTTTGTCAGTCCAAACCCAAGAGATGTTGAGTTTTATAAGAAAGAAAACAAGGAAAATCATTAAATCATCATGATTTAGAGGCTGAAAACAGATTTTTGTATGAAAAGTTGTTTCAATGATTAATCAAATATATTGCCCGCTTTACTTCATATTTCAATGAAAAGGAAAATAATTTAATTGAACCACCTGCAAAAAAGGAGTTGGAATTTCTCTGGCAAACTTTAAAGCAACAATAACGAGCAGACAGCATACACAATCCTTCATTTTATTCCAATTATGTGTACAGTAGATCAATATAGGAAGCTAACACAGTATATGCGGTAATCAGTCAACAGTTTATGCTCACCATTCAACGACCCAGAGCAACGTCTCCATGTTGGGTGCATTATTGCTAGAGACCACATAACACGTCAAACAAGATGCTTCATGGTGGCGCACAAAGTCCACAGATATGTTTCTCTAGGATGCTAAATAAAATGATTGGACCTCAGCCAGGAGAGGAAGAAGCTGCTGACATTTGTTAATACTTTGAGGATTAGGGTTATTATAAAGGCGTTCAGAAAGATGGAAGACGTTAATAAGTTTAAAACAAAATCAGGCGTTGAAGATTTTCTCTATTCAGCTGAAATATTCATGACATCCTTTTTAAGGCATCACACTATTCGTCTTCATTTTAGTTTCAGTGTTGGGCCTCTTTGGCGCATTAGCATTTCCCCCCAAAGCAGACAAACAATCTCTGGAGCTGCATTCAGCAACCTGAATGTTGATGTGTAATCAAAGTTGTAACATAGTACCAAAGTATTGCTAACATGTTTGAAATTAGGGTATGCAGGATGTCAATTTATTATGAATTGAGGTGATTGTTAATCTATCGGTGAGTTTAATCTACCTGCTGTTTGTTTGGATGACGTGGAGTGAGGAAGTCTAACAGTCTCAGTTCAGGAAAATAAAATCAGTTTTCAACCAGACAGCTTTGTACTTTTATCCCCTGCCGTCTCAATAAACTTGAGGAAGAATAGTGCACACATTCATGCTTATGGGTACCAGCTGAGAAGAGAATGAAAACCTTTGTCACATTTGCATTTTCACAAACAGGCTACATTTTCACCCAGGCAGTCTCATGGGGCATAAACATATGCCCTTTTGCTTAAAACTGCTTCACATGCACCACTGATTCCTCACTTAAATATGGCTCCCATAAAGTGTAACATATCAATAATCATTTAAAGATTCAGCAGTGACAATCAACAAAAACAGTTCATTTGACAATTCAGAAAAATATTAAGCAACACATACTGAGCTCAACTATTACAAAATACAAAGTTAAACAATCATAAAATCTAATTTCATACCTCAAGAGTCCTTAAACTGGCTGACGTGACATACTAATAATATATAAATATATTGATATATTGCTTTGTTGAGGTTACACTGCTTAAACATAATGCTAAACTTTAATCAGTAGCTGCAGAAGGCAAGAAAAGCCTCACAGCAACTAAACACAATTAAATTCATCCTTGCAGGAAGGCTCATTCAAGACACTGATGCTAAGTTGAGTCATGGCTCAAGAATGAATCAACTGTGACACAGCTTCAAAATAACTGAGGTGTCACATTATATAGAGTAATAGAGTTTATATGCAAATCCCAAAGAGTCTTATAAAAGGGTTTCTGAAACAAAAGGGCACAAAACTTTAGTACTTAGAAATGTTCCACACTGTATTTCTAATATCCACAGCTCCTCTATTATAAGGCATTCATTACATAAGGGTACTGAATGGAGAAAAGAAAAATAAATAACTTTAAAAGTATTTCCTACATTAAAGTATAGTAATCTAAAGTGATAATTTGATCTCTCCTATACTGCTTTGTTTTCAAGTTGCTATTCGCTCATTGTAACGCTAGGGGCCACCATATGCATGTGTTTTGATAACACACACACACACTGCCTGCCCTCATTTACAGTACACAGTCACTCTATAGGTGTTCATCTTGGGTGTGTAAAAGGGAAAAAGGAACAGAATACAGATAGAAAATGTCAATCCCACTTAAAAAACACACATAAACCTGTAGTCAAGTTTGTGATTATCTGTTTTGCCTGAGGTGAAAAAATAAACCCCAACAAAATAGCCAAACACAAACTAGTTGAAGAAGTAGTGCTGTGTGTGTTTAGTTAGTATACACACCACACCTGAGTCTAACGCATGGTCCAACACGTCACAATCTGTTTATAGAAAGCAGTTACTGCAGAAAAATAAAGCAGGGTTTATGTGCCTCTGTGTGTATATTTGAATAAACACACGGTCTCAATAGTGTAAGACGGAAAGTTTACACATGGCCAAAATGACTGTCTGATCTGTCCTCCACGATCCAATGCACTTACAGAAACGCAAATAAAACAGGTTTTGTCAAAGTATAAAGTGATTACTTTTTAACAGCTGCTTTAATAACCACATTTCAAGTTGTGAACGTTGAATGTTAAAATACTCTTTTTTCCTTTTCAGATAGACCTAGTCTAAAATAAAGTATTATTGATCTATGGGCAACAGCAAGGACTATAGTTAGTAGAGTTCAAATTGTACCAAGTGTTAGTTTAGTTGCACCAAGGAAAGCTAACTGAAGCATAATTATCTGCAGTTAAAGACATGAACACTGATTTTAAACAGATTTACAGTAACTGTTGGCAGGGCTTGTGTCAAATCTGTTTCTAAAAAATGTTTGTTTCCTGAAGCGTTGCTCTCTGTTGTTGGGTTTACAATAACGTACAGACGGAGATAAGCAGTCCAGGTTAGAGCAAACGACAGGTTCTGGTTCATTTTTTAAAAAACAAAATGGTTGGGGATATTGCTGACAACACCCGAGTTGTATCCTTATAAATAAATTGTCATGGAAACCTACTGGAAAGGTATACATATGTGTAATAAAGATAGAACTGATCTACTGTTGTATTGGAAGTTAATCGACTGTCCTTTGTATTATCACAGGAACACACCTCTTTTCAGTCAAAAATGTTTCACCGGGAGGACCCGAACATACCGCTTCAGATATGTCAGCTGTGCCTCAGTCAGGGACCAAACAAATGTTTGGTCACATGTTTGATTTATGGTAGGCCTTGAAAGCTCACAGCTGGGCCATTTCTCAATGTCGAGTAAAACTGCTGCAGAGCCACTATTTCAAGTATACTACGTCATCGAGTGGCACAGAAGGACTGTTTAAATGCATGTTAAATGCCCAGCATTCTGCGCCACTCTATGACGTAGTATACTTGAAATAATGGCTCAGCAGCAGGTATACTCGACATTGAGAAACGGCCCTGGTTGGGCTTGTAGTCCTTTTAAAATGGCCGCTCACCATCAACAAATGTCCAAAAGGGGTGGCTTTGAAATAAGGCCCTACAGTATACTGAGCATGTGACACCAGTGTAAACAGATAATTAATCTAAGACTGACTTAAAGTGACACTTTCTGAGTTTTCTTTGCAAGTTATTTAGGGTTATATCAAAGTCCATTTAAAAAAAGTGACTACAATAAGTGTAATATAATCATTCATGAGCTAAAACTAGACGCAGTATCAATTCAGTCAAGGTGCAGAACAGTTACCAGCATTAACAGTCTCAGATGATCATACAGTGATCAAACTGCAGTTTAAAGTGCAGGCTTTAGTACTCGCTAGTCTGCCTTTGTCTCAGCAGCAGGGGGCGCTGCCGCTGAAGACAGCAGTCTGGCAGCTCCGCCCTGAGGCTCCATCGGCCCTTCGCCACCTCCTTCCTCCTCATCCTCCCTCTCCAGCCCCAGTGGAGCCTGTCTTTGTGCCACAGCGTGCCTGGAGCGGGCCCTGTGCCTGCGAGGGTGGAGGAAGAGTGCAGGGTCCGGCATGGCTGTGGGCTCAGCGGGGCCCGTCACTTTCTCTATGGGAACACACTCCCGGGAACGCTCCACTCTCAAAGACGACCTGACGCTTTTACGCTTGGGTTTAACCACGGGAGAGGAAGGGGAGGCTCCTGAAGGCCTCTGAGGAGAGACAGAGATCTGCTCGGCACAGTATTGGGCCCCCTGACTGTTGGCCCGTGCGAGGAGTCCCTGCCTCTGCTGCATTCGCTGGTGGTGCAGTTTCTGGCGGGCACCATGCAGCTGGAAGGAGAGGTACGCTGCTGCCTCTGTTTGTTTCTGCAGCTCCGTGTTCAAGATGGTTGAACAGTGGCTCCGGTGTTTCAGCTCCTCCAGGAAATGGCGCTCCTTTTCCTTGAGATTGGCTCTGAGGACTCCCACCAAAGCCCCTTTGTGACTCAGCTCCTGACTCAGCTCTCCAAAGGTGCACTCCTCCTCGTCCAGACGGCTTTCCACGTCCCAACAGCGGTTCTCTAGCAGCTCCTCCTCCTCCTGCAACTCTGACACACAGAAGGACCAGAAATGTAAACAGACCTATAGGTCTAAAAATAAGAGTTTCTATACATGTGTAACTGAAAAATGGGCCTACATTTGGGCATACATAAATACATTGTGTACCTATCTTTCAAGAGATGAAGAATTACCGAGGAGTAAAATGAGTTGAATGCTCTATCCCAGGGGCGGTTCTAGGTGGGGCCAGTACCCCCTAACACTGACCTCTGACCCCCCCTGTGGCCCCCCTAAAAATGAAAAGTGAAAAAAATGAAAAATGTATGATTTATTACACAATTTATTGAATGACAGAATAGGCGGAACTAACGTTATTCGTCATTCTAGTCGGACCCATTAGAGCGGTGCACTCAGGACCCATTAGAGCGGTGCACTCACTTTCACTGTCCGGCTGAAGCGCGCGAAAAAAAACACTTTTCATCTCGGATCATCAGAGGCTGTTGCATCCAAAAAAGACTGATTGAAACCTACGTTTCGAGAGACTACCACGATAATTGAAGGTGATTTAAACTATTGTATCCATCTAATTGTAGATGTAAAGTAGAGATGTAACTGTTCATTGCCTTTATTTTTATATAAATATGATATGGTGTTAGTGCAAAAATTGTACTATAACTTAAGCTGAAGCTAACAGTAATAACTACAAGATATATCTGAAATAAATAAGTGTACTGAAACAAATACCAATAACTGTATTGCATTGTTTTCTTATGCGCAATTACTTCATACTGTCTAGTTCTCTTTTTCGTCCTGCATTTATTGTGCCCCCCTCAGAAAATAACTGGCCCCCCCAGTCAAATTGGTCTAGAACTGCCACTGCTCTATCCACAACTACATTTTACAACAAAATCAGCACTTGTATATACAAACCCTAGACAGCAGCACATACACAGTTTAAACACGTGTATGGTATTACCCTGGAGCAGTGGGTTACTTATCTCGCAAAACTGAGCATTTGTCGTGCCGCACAAGCTCTAATCCGCATGCACATATGATTATAGAGGCGATGCCTTCTGTGCTAGAAAACAGATATAAACGTTGGAGTCACTGTTGACTGGCCCTGAAAATGTTCAGCTAAGAGATTCATTATTTTAAATTGGAAGGAGTGTAAACCATGTTCTTATATGGATTTGTGACTGGAGGAACACACGTATCTGCTGAACATAGATCGGCCACATTTCCTGTTAAAAGACTTTGATATTGGTATTGCTGTCTTTTGAATGTCTTTGCATAATGTCTGATAAAACAGATTGTCCTGATCATATGCTGTCTTTGAGTCACGCTATAAAAATATGGAGTAGTTAATGAGGCCAAGTCTGAGAATTTGGGATATCACCAAATTGCTCACATCGTCTGAAACATTTAGTTGCATAAGTGCTGTTTAGGAGCTGGAAATGACACATTTATGAAAGAGTAATCTCTATCCCACACCAAAATGACAGCCCGCTGAGCAGTATTTTGTCTTAATTCCCTTCATGCTTAGGGATTTTTTTTAAGATGGACTCAAACTATACGCATTCTTATTTTAAATTAATAAAACAGTCATAGTATCCAAAATGATTTCTAAAATTCTTTGGAACAGCAACTCAAAAATCCTTTCAATTTGGACTTTGCATTTCTGTTCTCATGGAAATGTTCAATATCTAAATACATTTCGCATTATGGAAGGGGGAAAATGTGAAAACATGAAAGCATTCATCAGTAGGTTGAGGGAGAGAGAAAGCTAGCCAGAACAATTTTGTTGTAGACATCTATTATTTGTATACATCGAGCAAGGTGTAGGCATGCTGCACCACAGATCAATAAGACACCATACTGTGTTTTATATATTATATATATATATATATATATATATATGTGATACAAACTAAAAATTCCACTTCCTCAATTCCATAACATCAACTAAATTTCTCTAAATAGTAAAAACCACCACTTGAGGCCTTCCTTTCACCATGAACTTAAACTTCACCAAGGTCAGATTTAATGCTGAAGTCTGCTTATTATTTTTGCTTCTGTACACAACATGTGTGCTCTGAGGCATATCCCCCAGAGGAGAGGGAAGTATGAATGAAAAGCCAATGCAGCAACCTCAGGGCTGACTTAGTGGAGGATTACATCCACAGGAGCTGGCACTGAGGCCTCTGCAGATAGAAATAGGTCAGGTTTTCAGGGCAGGAGACTCCCAAAGGCTGCAGGGAGGTTTGGTGAGGCCTGCAGGTGAAACTATGATCCATATTAGGCTTCATACATGGATAACATCTTTGAGTTTGATGCTGCTTCATCTTATGCTTCATGACATTTCCCTTGCTCTAGCTGTCTCTTATTTTCTGCCTATATAACTTTTCTTTATTGTACTGAGTGATACTTTAGCTTGTTCTATTTCCCATATCCATCCTCAATCTCCCATTTGTCTTCCAGGATGAATCCTCTGAGGATCGATCAGTCTCAGGTTTTCTGTTGCCCATCACCACACCCAGGTTGAGCTCATATGCTAAGTATAGACTAGGCTACCTAATGTGATCTTAATATCCTTCCATACGTCTCCTCCACGTCTGCAGCTGACCGCATCCTGCCGCCTTGTCTTTTCCCCTTAATCGCCCTCTTTGCTACCTCTTAATACCTCTCTCCTTCCACCTCTTCCTCTCTCCTTTTCCTGGCTCTACGTCTCTCTTGTTCTCAGCAAAGTCTTGTAAATGGACCCTCCCTCTGGGACGACAAGGAAAAACGAGAGTAGGGAAAGAAAAAGAGGATGAATCCATTTGTCAGGGTGGGAGGAGAGCAGAGCGCCGTGCTGTATTGATGGATCTGGGGATAACCTGTCCTGGAAAAGGAGATGGGGTCTAATGGCTCAGTAATGCAGCCAAACACGAACCCCCCACATTAATTTCTACAAGCACACACACATTCACACAGCCTTTTGACTTCTCTTCCCCTGCTCTGTCTCTAATTTGGTGTGACAAAATGGTGCCTACTGCTTCCCTGCATCCAGACAACACTGACAGTCAGCTGTCTGCATCGGCGAGGGTTGACTGATTTTAAGAGAAATATTGAATAACTGTGAATATTTTTGACTGATGTTGCAATTTATTTACAATATTTGGGGAACTTATATATTTTTTACCAAACATTTTAGATGTCTTTAGACTAGAATATACGATGTGTGTAAACTGTAAAGTGTACTCCATTTCCATAAATTCTCATACATTTTCCGCCCTAGCCTTTTTATAGTGAGAATGTGCAGCTCCCCTTTAGCGCTGACAAATTATTTTTTATTTAAACCAAAGAAACACAGATACAGCCATGAGAGACAGAGAGATAGACAGAGAGAGACAGAAATGGAGAGGAGGGTGGCTGACAGGGATCCATTCCCTGGGGGATGGGAGGGTGGAGAGGACAGACGGTGGCAGAGAGGGATGCAGGCTGTGGTGGATAGGGGGTTGAGGTTGAGTGCGGCCAAAACAAACAAGCCCAAAGAGATGCAAACATGTCTGTTTTTCTATCTTAAGTGCAGAATGAGAGAAAAATATTAATATCAAAGTTGTTGTTTTTTTTAACATACCTATTGGATTCCTTCCTTGAGGCTTCACCTCTAGATCGCTTGTCAACTCTGAAAAACACAAAACCACAGGAGAGCAGTTACATAAGACAGAAATACAGTAGGCCTATCTCAAAAGCACATGACTTAAATGCAGACGTTGAGATGTCTTATTAAAGCTGTATGCTGATATTTTTCTTTGTGCTGCATAACAGATGCTTGATGCAGTTTTCCAGCATATATTTTGATTGGGCTCATACATAATTTATGAAGCTAAATCTGAAACTTTACATCATTAGGCGCTTTCACACCGCAGTACTTTTCCAACAAAGGTTCATGAGAACTCTTTAGTTTTCTTTTGTGTTGCCATAAATTAGTCTCTCTGCGTTTGTGCGCTGGGCTAATGCTAATAATGCTAATGCGAGGATAATAAAATCGCAGCTTCACAAAACTTTTTGGGAGTTTTACGGGGCGTGGTTTGCATTCCGCCCAGACAATCAGACATAGGAACCTTTTTCTCCCACGAAAGTCCCTGCTCTCTAGCAGGGACGGAAAAGGGGGTAAAAAAAGGTTCTCATTAACTAATTTGAACTAAAGTGGGAAAAGTACTGCGGTGTGAACGCGCCTAAAGACTGAAGTCCTGTTAAATTACTTGTCACAGTCTGGGGAAAATCTCACTTTACTGCAACCTCAATAAGACATATAACCGTTAGCATTCCTCCCTGAAATCAATATTCACTTAAATAAGAACTCCTGGCTGTGCAATCATTTTCAAGAGGAATGCAAACCAAACAAATACCCAAAGAAAACCCAAAAACTAGTCAAGCAGAGCTGCTTTTGTCACAACATCTGTTGACACTGGAACATACTGTAGATGAAGTATAAAGGTCATAGCACATAGCCTACATGGCGTTTGTCTGAGAACCAATAATAATAAATGTGATTTATCTTATAGGAAGACATCAAAATGTTATGTCAGGATTATTCTGACCAAAATAATAGTAATATAAAAGTATCCCAATAATCATCAAAATATGGATAAATGGCACTTTAATATACTGGAATCACTTTACTTTACATGTTTTAACAAACCAATATGTTATTGCATTCCAAATCGGACACACATCTTTTTTTGTGAAAAACAAACATTCTAAAAGTCATATTTCCTATGCTCCCCATGCAGAAAACAAAAACAAAAAAGCATTGTGTGAGTTTGTTCTTTCTTACATAATAATCCTGTATTTTTTTTAAAATAAACCTCTTTTTAGTTTCTATGATATGAAAGCTAACAACACAGCTTTTACAAGACACACATGTGAAGGATATTTATGTTCATCCTGATCAGTTATAAAATCATACATCGTCTCATGCCGAATTTCTTATAACATTTGTGTCAAAAGTTTTGACTTTGAGTGTCGTGTTTCTTCTGATATACTGTGTGTCATGTTGACGACTCACATTAGTCGATGGCCTTTGCATCCATTTGTCTTGTGCAATGAGAGAAAAAACAACACTCAGCAGCTTGCTTGCCTCAATGCTAGATTGGAAAATAAATCCATGATTATCTGACTTTTTTTTTAGAGAGCTCAATGAGAGAATCTCCTCCAACATGATTAGGATTATCCAAATATTCAATGATATGATATCTGGCATGCTGGCATTTTTAGATGCTGAATGGATTATATCTCATGTCAGTGCATTACATCAACTAAAGAGTTTAGGTTTTTGAGAAGATAACGTACCAGACTGGTGCTCAGTTTTTCGAAGGGTTGGATTGTCCCTGGTAAAAAAAAAATATATTTTGCTTAAAGTGTATGACAGGTTGTCTGACTGCTGGTCGTGACTGGCCTGTCGGTCATTTCAAATGTCATTTAGGACTGCAGGGAAATCTCTACATTTCGCATTCAGCTCACACTCAAACAGCAGTGTTTGTGGTTCCAGATTAGATTAATGAAGCATGGATTTGTTCATTTAAGAAACTTGAGTGTTCAATCAGCCATTAAACTAGTTTAATTAAAAACATCCTTTAAATCTATGAATATCAACTAAATATTTTACTTCTAATTTTACTGGTGATATAAATCAGACTCTAGAACAGCATATATGTTATTATTCCCAGCCTTTCTGCTCCTATTGTCACACCCTTTCTCTCTGCAGTCAGCATTACACGCCCACCCATGCAGCTGGTATGAAGAGATGACGACAGATAGTGAGGAAAGGGCGGATAGAGGAGCTCAGACAGGCATAGAAAGACAGCCTGATTGCTGTTTATGTAGTGAATTGATTGCAAAATATGGGAGACTTTGAGAGGTCATCTATCATTATCCTCTTTCAGAACTGCCCTGACACATCAATCAGAAAAAGAACAGCATACTATAGAAATACAAATCATAGAAATGAGAAAAAGCTATAAAAGATGTCATCAATTGACTTTGAGGAAACACCAGATACAGGATTACACATTTTTATTTAAATCCAACTTGCAAAAAAGCAAAACAGACTAAACTATGCAGACATTGAAAAACAAACAAATAATGTGCCAATTGTGCTTTATTAAAAAAGCTTTATATCAAGCAAGGCTAAAAAGGTAGGTGTTGACTTGATGAGGGTAATTTAACTGCAGAAAGTCAGCTACAGGAATGATGTCTTGAAGAAACAGTTTCACAATGAAAAGGAGGAGCTCAGCACATCCCGAGCTTGGTATGTTTGGTAGTTCTGTCTTATCTCCTACAGCCTCACTGAGCATTCAAGGCTCTGTTTCGTGGTTCGACCTTGAATGTTGCATATCTTCAACGACACATACACACACACCTCATTGATTTCTATGACGCACAACTAACACGTTATATTAAAAGAAAAATGACCAAAACAAAGACAGATATTGACTTCCTGGTTGTTCAAGGAGAGAGAAGTATAAGAGCCTTTAAGTGGATGAGAAGGAGAGTTGAGGACAATAAAGGCGGTCAGCGGTAAAGAGGCAGAGCTAATATGCACAGCAACATGGGCAGATCAACCTTGCAGTCTCCTTCCAGGCTGCACATTATTGAGCTGGCAGCAAACGCCTACCACAACTGCTGACTGCATTATCCTATCAGAAGCTCCTATAGCCCCAATACTGTCCAGCATTACCTCATTGTATATCTTTGAACCTCTTTAAACAGTTACAAACTGAGATAATTACAATTATATGTGCACCATGGTCTCAAAACTAACACATCTTCAAGTAGGCTTCTCTGGGATTTAAGAATAAATACTTAATCTGGGAGAAAAAAGTGATTGGCACTGGCAGCGTCAAGCGCTCTGAGATTTACTCTGAAATACTGACTAGCTCTGCACTACCATCAGGCCTCAACAAAATCCATGCTATGCTAATTAGACACAAACCCAACAACAATGTGTACAACTTAAAAACCTGAAATGTGTAAAAGATATGAGCAAGAAAAGGTATATGGTCTCTGAAGTAACAGAGTCTCCCAAATGTTCTGGCTTCACTGTCAACTGTGAACGAAACAGCAAAGTGCGCATATGCACATATTATACTGTGAAATAACAATCAGAAGTACTAAAACAAGACTTTACTGATGCACGTTAAAGAGGACCTATGCATTCTGGGCTTCCTCCTTTCCTGTAGTGCGTTATGTGGTTTTGTGTGCATGCAAATGGTCTACAAAGGCTCAAATCCGAAGGATAAAAAATATAATGCAAAGAGTAAAAAGCAGTTTATCTCCCACAAAGGAGTTTTTACTTGTATGTTGGTAGAGTCGTAGGACAGAGGGTGTCGTATGCTGTACACACTGTTGAATATTTGTTGTTGAAAGGGGCAAAACACAATAAACTCCCCTTACCCAAGCATATAGTGGCGATTTAATCTTCATTTGGACACAAAACAGTCATTTGCATGCAAAAGCTTTTAACAGATGTTCCCTGTGCATGATCGTTTCATAAGAAGCTCTAAAGATGCTCTGCAGAAAGAGATGTGGTGTATTGATGTCCCTGCTTAAGAAATCCCATAAAAAACCTTTGAGGAATGTGGAAATTAAAGGCTGTGTTAGATCAAAACTCTGCAGTGCAGATTCAGGATTTCAGCGGATTTATATTTGTGTTGGAGGATTTTTTTCTAAGGAAATATGTTTTCTACTAGGAACATGTAGTGAACTCTCTTGAGACATCTTCATTGATTAAATACTTTTTATTACAAAAACGATTGTTTTTCTGAAGGTCAAGTTCAGCCAAACATTGCTTTGATATTTTGGATATGAACACTCACATATACATGGATAAAAATATAAAAATGTGTGACATGAATCTGTGTTCATGTGTTAGTCCCTTTCTCTCCACACACATAATACACGTATTAACGTGCACATTATTATTTTTGGACCAGATGTGATTGTGCAGCAAAGCTAAAAAGTGATTGAGGGGGTTGTTTTCTACATAACTGGTCGCATTGGCTCTGAGCCAGCTCGCCCTATCCATCTCCATCACACACACTCACATACAAACACCACACACCACACACCACACACACACACACACACACACACACACACACACACACACACACACACACACACACACACACACACACACACACACACACACACACACACACACACACACACACACACACACACACACACACACACACACACACACACACACACACACACACACACACACACACACACACACACACACACACACACACACACACACACACACACACACACACACACACACACACACACGCGCACACACAGACCCCTTCCCCCCTTGCAACCTACTCCCCCATGTATTTGTTAACCACAATCCCGTTCATATGGATTAGTAAAGATATGGGATCTATGGATTAACTAAGCACAGATATGTTTAGATTAATCTCTCTGTTGTATGTCTTGTATGTGTGCATGTGTGTGTTTGTGTGTATTTATGTTGCAATAATGGGCAGGTTTGGTTTAGAATATGTGACACTAATAACAAAAGGATAAGGAAAGCCTCCAGGGAATTAATTAAATGAAATAGAACATCCTCACAATGAAAGTAATACAAAAATGTGTGAGCGTGTGTGGGTTTGTGTATGTATGTATGTGTGTGTGTGTGTGTGAGATCATTAATGCACTTGCTTGCTTGATGAAATGGATGACATATCCATTAGGCACGAAACAGGAAATGATGCAATCTACAGGAATTGAAGCATGACATCACCATAGCCATTGTTGACACACATGTGCACACACACACACACACACACACACACACACACACACACACACACACACACACACACACACAAACACACACACACACACACACACACACACACACACACACACACACACACCCACACACACACAACACACACACACACACACACACACACACACACACACAATGAGGCCTGCATATGAGGAGATTTCGTTTCTCTTTTCAGGAAAGTGACACAAACTGCTGATTGTAACTAAACACACAACATAAGCTTTTTTCTATACATAATTCAACATTGATCATGTGGTCCATCAAATGAAGGTGAAATAATTAATAGGATAGATCTATACAGTAGGTGGACTTACAAAATCTGTCCAGGAACTACAGATGAAAAATAGCCTCTTGGCTAACTCTGGCACATTTACAGAAATGTTGATTCATGGGCACTGTCCCTGGTAAATAAATGAATAAATAGGAATAATATCTGGTGCAGGCTTGATGGACTATCATAAAGTGAAAAAGGAACTCATTATAAAGAGGTCACAAAGCTGACTTCTAGCTCATAATACATCAGGACTGTAATTAAAGATCTCTGTAAATCTCCTCTCAGAGGGTCAACGAGAGGCGTCCTTGCTGATTATAGCAGCAAAAAAAGACACCAAAGGAATCCTTCACTTTTATGTGGGCTCATTAGTGCTGAAATTATGAGGCAATTAACTTCAAAGAATTTCAAATAAAGACGCCAAACACTAGGTTCTGGCATCTAGTGCTTTTCTAGAAATAATAGTACAAAAATGTGGCTTTGGACTGCTGCTTGAGTAATACAAGCAGTTTGAAGATATTAAAGTGTAAGGCTTGTTTACATATGATAGACAAAACTAAACTAAAATAACAATTGGCAGATAATAGTTTGTTGCAGCCCATCTGGAGGTTGGTAGTATATCATGACAGCTTGTCTAGAAAGCACCAATAAACGAAGTAAAATGTTTCAAATGTTTTCTTGAATCTTGATGACATCCAGTAGTAACCTGTGTAAATACACAGGAAATATTGGTGAGTATTTTTTCCAGAGTAATTACTATTTTGCTCTGAAATAGTGATATTTAATCATTTTGGAGTCTATTTATTACTCATAGCTTCTAAAGTGCGATAAAAAATGCAGAGTCAATTCTATTGGAGTCAAACCATGACCACGCTGTAACGCAGGTGATCTCTGGGGCCGTAGATCTCGGTCTCTTATATTATATAGCTTCATTATTGGCGAAGTATATTACTTTGTTCCACGCTAAAACATTGCACAGAAAGCATGTGAATCTGTCATTTATGCATCTATTTGTCACGATCTGTCTATGTTTTAGTTTGTCTGTCTCTGTTTCCTGTTGTAGTTTGAAAAGTGTTCCCCCTCCCGTCTTGTCTGTTGCTGGTGATTGTGTTCACCTGGTGCCCCTGTGTTTACTCCTCCTTCCTCACCTGTGTCTTGTTGGTTTGATTAGTCCTGTGTGTATTTAGGTTCTGTTTTCCTGTTAGTGTGTGTGAGAGGTCCTTGTTGCTGGTGACTGTGTTCATGTGAGACAGTCATATTGAGGCTGTGTATCATGAACCACAGCGATGAATAAATGCCCACACCGGGTTGTATTTTAACTCTCTGCCTCTGCCTCCTTGCTTGGTCGGGCCGCTCAATGGTCAGCTTCACACACGCCCACTCGTGTTACTTAAGCACTTTGGTTTATTGACCTTTTTTATTATAAAGATCATTATGGTTCATTTATTCTATTCTGAGTAAAATTACCTTCTATTGGGAGTAAAATTACCTTCTAGTTGGAGTAAAATTACCTTCTATTTGGAGTAAAATTACCTTCTAGTTGGAGTAAAATTACCTTCTAGTTGGAGTGAAATGACGTTCGATTGGGAGTAAAATTACCTTCTATTATGAGTAAAATGGCAGTAGAGTTGTTTTTAATATACACTACATAGAGTAAATAACCATTAAGCAGAGTCAAATCTAAGCACATAATAGAGTAAAATGAACTCTAAAAATACAACTCTGAACAAAGAGTACATTTTACTCTATATATGTTGGGACCAAATGTAATATTTTTAGAGTAACATTTTCTTCAATTTGAGTCAATTTTACTCAGAGAAATTTACTGTGTAGGAATGAATAGGAATGAGTTATACTAAAGTACTCCTAAAATCTTGAACTCAACTGTGCTTATTGTGTGGGGTAACTAAAGGTTCTTTTGCTCCCCCATGCAAACAGACACAGTGTGACCCTCACCTGAGCATCGCTTCTGCAGGGAGAGGATCTCCAGGTGGAGGCCGTGCAGTAAAGTGAGGTGTTCCTGTCTCAGGAACACGATGCTCCTCTCCACACTTCCTATCTGCTTTGACAGGCTGTTCTCTTCACCCATGGTCGCTTCTGCAAGGACAGAGGGAGGAAATCAGAAGGATGGGACTGATAGGTGTTTGTGTTTGCTCCAGCATCCATTTCAGCTTCAAAATACTCCCTTTTCCAATCCAACAATAAACTGTAAAACTGCTGAATGTCACTTTCCCACAGGGAACATTGCTTATGTCAGCCACAGAGAGGGAAGTTCTGTATTGAGGTCAAGTGGAAGCTATACATAAGGTAGACATAGCAGAAAACATGCACTAACAATCAGGATGCAGCTTAGTGAACAATGATGACGACTTATCATTAGGTCTGTAGTCGTTGCGAAAATCTATCTTACCGTGTTACGTGCTAAAATCGACTAAATATGGTTAGCAGCTGTTATAAGAGCGTCCTCGGATCCGGGCATGCTGGCCTCCACTGCTGCTCCAAATCCTGTGGGCTGCGGCATCCACCCAAACACATGTTATCTGAAGCCTTAACGCGCTTTTCAGCAGCATGTGACGCCGCTGCATCAGAGGACGGAGAGGCTGGAGAGCTGCGTAAAAATGCAAAACCAGCTCGCTGCATGGCACCGCGATCCTCCGGCGAAACCGCTCCCCGCTGCAACCCCGAGCAGCATCAGGAAGAGGAGGATTTGGAAACGTAAAAAGCCCACCGATAAAGTGCGCAGATCATTATTATTTTGTTAACAATGAGCACCTTTTATTCTTCTTCCTCGGCCCCAGACAGAGACATGGAGCTGCTGTGGACGGATGCTGAGCTGGGGATGATGAAAACAAGAGACCGTGGGCAGAACACGCGAGATCATCGTACGACACAGACTAAAGACAGCTGATTGGAGGAGCAGCCCCCTCCACCACCCCCCAACCCCCTCCATCAGCTGCACCCTCACCCTGAAGAGGATCAATATAAAGCAAGGGAAATCCAATACTGTTATAAGTCATTGGAAAACAAAGGACAGAATTTAAATACAATAAAATACAAGGTGACCTGTACATTTTTGTTTACTTACTGTAATTCAGTCGACTATATGACTGTTGGTGTGATTTTACATTCTGTCTGTGTTGGAAAAGGGTCCTGATTTCCAAAGTAAAAGTACAAAAGTATTATTATGAAAATGTACAAAATGTTAAAGTACTCATTGTGCACAATGACGACCCATTACAAAATAATTTAGATAATAGTACACTTCTGCATTATACCATATTGTATAGGCTACGTACAAAGAAACTAGTGATATATATAGTAGTGGACTAAAAAGTACAACATTTGAATCTGACATGTAGAGAAGAAGTATAAAGTAGCATTAATGGAAATACTAAAAAAAAAGTAATATGTAAAAAAATAACTGATGTACAATACTTAGATGTACTTAGTTACCACCACTGCATTCTGGTAGCAGTACTTTTACAATAAGGAGTAGGTTCACTCCACCGCTATTTAGTATTCACAAGTATTTATTAGTCTAGACTTGACCTTTTTGACTCGAGTATTGCTCATTACATAAACCTAAAAGCTGCTTACAGATGTCAGACAAATGAACTTAACTGAAAACCTTCTGCATGTGTCAATGACAGAAAAACACATTGTTGTTCTTGTGTGTATTTTTAATTTTTACATTGAACAAAAAATGTTAATATATAAACATATAAATTGGAGCTTTAATTACAAAACAATCAGCCAAAACATGAAAAAATAAAAGCTGTTATATTTACAATTCAAGGCATAATTCAGTGAAACGTGACACTTTAATGCTCTGAGTAAAGACGAGGATTTTGCTTTCACAACCTGCAGGGTCTCGACTGTTTCAGTATTCTGATGTTTCAGGTCTTAGACATGAGGCACAGTGTCAATAGTCTTCACTGTTGTTATGAATTTCCTTTTTTCATACTCAACAATAGACAATATTTCACCAACCACCAGAAAGTTAAAAAGAGAAGCCTATAAATGAACAAGCAACGGCATAAAACTGGTATGATTTGTTGGGTGTGATAAAGAATCAGATTCTGGGAGATCAATGCAGTCAACATAAACTGTGTATAATGAGAAATAGGAGGGGATATGGCAACACAACTTAATAACTACTGCCACTTTCTCCTAAAATGTTCTTGTGTTCACTACCCACAAATATAACACTATATAATAATCCTGCGGCCTGGGGCCAATCATAATTTAAAGTTCAGACTTCATTGTTATATTTCATCACAATTCCTAAAAAGCACAACATCGCGTATAATTCCAATTCCAATACAACTTTAAAACATTCACAAATATGAGCTCAGTTGTGAGAAGGAACTTCAAATGTCAACAGGTGTCTTAACTACAAACAAAAAGTAAAGCTGCCTGAAGCATTGAAAAATTATTTTAAAAAACGAAATTGCAAATCCACATTCACAATATAATTTCACAAGGCAGTTACTTTTGATCCTAATATCAATCACGACAACACTAATCAAAATGTAACACCTCCCTCCGATTCAGTGCTGTTTCTTTAGTGAATTGATGTCTTAATTTTAACGTTGACAAAGATTTAAAGGCTGTGTTTGTGTCATTTTGTGAGCTATATTTACAACATGTTTCTCAGCATGATCCTCTCGGTCATTATGTTTGCAATGTGATTGGACAGGCTGGATTTAGGTGTTTGAACATGATCGGTTCAAAATGACTATGAGCTTCCTCCATTGGACGTTAATTAATGTAAATGTAAGACCCACATCGGCACAGTGCCTCACAAACAACACGACTCACGCAATCATCAGTTTCACTATAATAAAAACATTCAATAACTTATTTTGAGTAAAAATAAATTACAAAAATACCCCCAAAACAATGATTTCACACAGAAAACCACAAAGCAAAACATAAATGGCTGCAGATTTGTTCATGCCGTATGAGCACTGGGATGCTGTGAATAGTGGTTAGAGCAGCCGTGTGTGAGGTTTGCTGTAATCACAGATCTCAAGACCAGGATTGATTTCTGTATTTCTTCAGGCATATAAAGAGGCAGGAGGCCCACGTCTACAAAGACGTTACAAAATAAAGACACCTCTGATGTTCTTGAGAGGGGATGTGGAGGAGTGTGCTGTCCCCTAAAGGCCAAATGAAGAAAAACATCTCCGCCTGTCTGAAAACTCCTACGGCAAACTCACTTCACCACGAACACCATATATTAAAAACATTCAAAACATTTGTGTCAGTATCTTGGAGCAATTCTTATGGTCATTCAGCGTGTACTGTTTCCATTTCACAGGTTTCAAGGAGTGAAAAATACAGCAGATTATATTTTAAGAATGAGGGTTATAATGGAAATATATATATAATATACATTTAAATCCTGCTAATCTTTCGTGCTAACTTCTTTGTCTTTTATTATGCTGCTGTAACACTAAAAACAATAAAGATTTATCTTGTGCACGACTTATTTGTTGCTGTTTGGTTCATGATTTTTTATTTACTTTTCCTATTTTAATACAATTTGGCAAAAGCATTCACAACCTTAAGTGTTTGGTTACAATATAACAAGCTGTACTGCATTTTGTGATCGATCCTGATCTGTTTTATGTAGGCCTACATGTTACTTCAAAGTATTCACCCTATTACTGTTTCTATCCTGCTTGATATGCTTGCAGAGAAATACCGTTTGTATGTACAATTTTTTCTGCTTTAAAAAATAACTGAAAACTGACAGCAAACTTGTGTAAGAATGAGCCAAATCATTGTTAAAAGCTTTCTGAGGTAGCAGGCAGTTTTCGGTAGTACACGTGTTGGATTAAAAAAGACTTTTGCGGAGAGAGATGTGAAAAAACCCACAACAGTATCATATAATGTATAAATAAAATGTTTTTGTTAAGATATTTGCTATGGAAATATAAAGGATTGTTGGCCGGTTTGTGTAATGAACAGTGTGTCTTCACTTAAGCTACATTTTAGAACAGATTTAGCTTAAACACCCTGTGGGAAATAAGGCGTTGGATGTTGTTTTTCAAGGCATTACATAAAAGAACCCTCCATTAGTCAGCCACTACTGGCACATAGAGATGATTAAACCACACATAAATACACAAGCCTACATTTAAAACAACAACTAAATGTTTCTTTAACATATTGACCGGTATAATCTGTGTTTGATGTCAGGACATTTAAGTACTACTTGTGTGCATGTACCTACAGTATCAGAGATTAAAAAAGATGTCCTGCTTTAGGTATATTACACACAAGCTGCCAAATCTCAGCCACAGGGCGTTAACATACACAGTCTGTGTATTTATCATAATCCTTCCCCTCTTCTCTACATATTCTTCTCCTTCTTGTTCTCCCGGGTGCTGCTCTTCAAAAAGTCGCTCCTGAGTAGCCGACAGAACAGCACGATATTCATGACCGTCATGACGGCCATGCCGACGCTGCCCAGAGTGTAGGCCATGAGCGGCACGTTGTCCCTGTTGAGCACCAGCCAGCGGGTCATCCAGGCCAGCGTGTTGATGCGGAACACCACGTATGTGCCCAGGTTGATGATGCTGTTGACGCGGTAAAGCGTGCTCGTGGCGTTGCCGGCCATACGCAGCATTTGCCTGAGGTGGAGGAACACAGAGTTTATCTCCACCATCAGGGCCACCACGGAGAAGCCCACGTAGCGGCAGGTGAGCACGGAGAAGCCGAAACAGGTGATCACCTGCAGAGGAAGAACAGAGGAAGAAGAGGAAGAGGAAGGTTAATATTAGTTTGGCAGAGCATACAACCAAAAGTGCATACATTTTCTATGTGTATAATGCATTATAATATTTTGATAGCACTGTCAAAATATAGTTGTCTTGATTAAAAAAAGCGTAAATTATAAATATTCATAACTCTTTATAACAATATAAGAAATATTTTATAATACAGATATGTTTTTATATAATTGTGATACTTGACAAAAAAGTAATAATAGAATGCTTTATAACCAGTCATGATAATTGTAATAAAACATAATGACGGAGTGACCCTCTGCACTTATCTAAAAGTTAGTGATATAAGAAGATCATAATGCATTATAAGTACTTTTATGATGCATTATGGGCAAATAAAGATGCGGGTATGCTACTATTTGGAGTTTTGAAGCTGACAAATTTAACTTGAATTGTTTTTTAACCTGATTATACTATACCATTATGCATTTTTGTTAACAGAGATCAGTTTGACAAGTGGATCAAATGAAAAATAATCAAATATAATATCCTTAAATTAAGGGAATGGTCTTGAGTTTAGATGAAATTGTGACTTTAGAAAAATGTAAATAATTTCCATATTTTAATCATTGTATGCTCTATTTCACCTAAGACAGTAATTTACGTAAGGACCTTGTGGAAGGACACCGCCCACATAACACATTTCTGCTGAGCAGTGCCTATGAAAGTTTATCCAGAGACTAATATACAAATCTCCACAAGATGGCAGAGACATCCCTCAAACACAGTCTGACAGAGAGGCAACTCCACCACTACTGCCTGCTGACATTACACTGAGGGATCACAGGCGTATGATGTGTGGTGACGACAGAAGTGAAAGCTGCCGTCTAACACTCACACTGCAGCTGTGTGCAGGCCTTAAATGTGTCTGCCTTAAATGTGTCTGACAGAAATGTGTTCACACAAAAACAGCCTGTGCAGCCAACTCTTCGCAGGAGCCGGGACCAACTCTGCACACAACATTCAGCAGCTTCATTCACACTCAGAGCACACTCGCAGTGAAGCGGGGGGGACACACTGTTCGGCCACAATGTACTTCTGCTACCTCCTTACAGGACGGCAACTAAAGATTGTTTTTTAAATGTCATTGAATCGGGCAATTAATTTCTAGATAAATTGATAAATTGTTTAGGTAAAAAAAAGAGAAAAAACTCAAAGTAAAGTCAAAAGTATCCAGGGTAATGTCTTTAAATGTATTTTGTTTCAAAGACTCAAAGGCTTTACTATTAGATGCACAACAGCTAACAGTGTAGTTTTGGCAGTATACATCTTAGTTCCCTCCAACAATGCAACAAACAATACTTAAGACATAAAAGGAGATACACAAATAAAATAGTGCAAGACAAAAAGGGTTGCAAGTAAGTAGCAGGAATAGGAAAGAGTATGTAAATATAAAATAGAATAAATTAAAACAGAGTGCCAAATTAAATACTGAGTAATACTTTTTTTCTTAAGTATATGTGTAGGAGCCATGAAACATGTATAGTATTGTGTTTTGTTTTAATATAAGATATTTGTTAAGCACTATTGATTGATTGATTGATTGTGGCTTGGGTCACATGGAGATGGGCGGCACTCATTATAATCCTGTTCACCTGCGTGAGGTGTGTGTGGAAGAGAGGGTGACACAGGGTCGTTGTACTTTTTGTTGACCGCAAGTTGAAATGATTGCTTTGATTAATATAACAATGTACATGTCCAAGGAGAATAAGTTGATCATCCCAGTTTTCATTAAACCACATTATTTTACAACAGAGTTTTTGATCTCAGCAAGTACTTTTTTTGTAGCGTGTCACACAATATCAAACAGGCCCGGCCTCAGCCTCTCAGCGACTTTGTTTGTTTCCTGCCATCGCTATATTTTGTAAGAAACTCAAACACTTAGTTTAATATGATATAAAGCAGGTCATCTCCATATGTGTGAGGATTACAAATGTAATGATTCTTCTTTCCAATCGGCTAGTTTGATTAGCTAATTTAATAGTTTCAGATCTACCATCTATGCTGCCATGTTTTAAAATCGGGAGTGAATTGTGGAAGTGAGGATAATGAAGATGGGAATTTAAGGAGAGAGCAGTCCAGAGGAAGTCATGTCTTTGGTTCGTTAATTATTATGGGTCATGGGACTCAGTGGAGTGAGAGACTGACCATGAACCGTCAGTCATGGCTCAGTTTTAGAAGCATCTTGTGTTTGTGTGTTGTGTCAGTAGAGATTGTGTGTTCAGGTCACCGGATGCCCTCTCTAATGTCAGTCATGCGATAAGATGATAAACACAAATTAAGTAACAAAGCTGTTTGTTACTTCCTTAGGAGGGAATCCAGTGAAATTCATGTAAATCAATGGCTTACTGACTCACAGCTATATCTGAATGTTAAGAAGACAGTCTGTATGTTTTTTAGCAAGACCAACACTGTATCACACTGTGAACCCAAGGTCTATGTGTCTGGGGAGGTCATTGAAACAGTTACACATTTTAAATATCTAGGCATTATCCTTGACACTACTTTATCCTTCAAAAAACAAGTGAGAAAGGTAATGCAAATAACTAAATACAATCTAGCAAACTTTAGATATATAAGGAACTGTTTGACAACACCTGTAGCAAAACTCTATGTAACTGCCATGATCCTTCCCCACCTAACATACTTTATGACCAGCTGGACCCAGGCGAATAGCACAACATTAAGGCCTATCCTGTCACTTCACAAACAAGCTCTCAAAGTTTTGGACAGAAAACCAAAGCTATACCACCATTGCAAAATCCTGGACAAACATAACCTGCTCAGCTGGGGAAATATTTTAAAACACACTGATGCATGTCTCATTTTTTAAATTCTAAACGGCAAGGCACCCCCACCACTGAAAAACTCAAACAGCAGAACCACAAGGTCTGCCCTAAGAGGGGACTGTGTAGTCCCTCTTAGGTCCAGTTCCTTTGGTAAACACTGTTTCTCTGTGAGGGCACCAACACTCTGGAACACAATACCAATACAGATAAGGAATAACACCTCCTATCATACATTTAACCACAATCATAAGAACTGGCTTTTAAACAATCAAAAATGTGAACACTTTTAACTGTATCACGGTATGATGATATTTAATCTGTTTGCATGTTTGTTTGTTCCTCTCTATTGTTGTACTGCTATTTATTTATTGGTGTACTGATGTTGTCTGCTGTACTCTATTTAATTATGTTTTTATTTTCTAGTCTTGTTGTGGTCATTTAACATCTTGCCAAGGACAACAGTTGAAAATTAGCCTGCTGGCTAATACTGGCTCATTTACAGCAATGTGAATTAATGTGCACTGTCCTTTAAATAAATAAACAAACAAACAAATCACAAAGTATAACTACTCAATAAATATGAAACTATTTCGATTGTCTTTGAGGTTTCATATTTTAAAACAGGATCTTCTTTTGTCTGCTCTGCACTTGATTCTATTGGTTATTGAAGGTAATGTCTATTTTATGTCAAACACAGCTTCAGTAACTCATTGCCTTTTCAGGGCTACCAACAGTAAAATGAACAGACCATAAACAGTTACGTGGACAAAAGACTGTGATTTAATCCGACCATACAAGGTCATCATCATCATCATCATCATCATCATCATCATCATCATCATGTAACAACGACCCCACGTGGCTGCAGCCATCAGATACCAGCAGAAAGTCAAATCCTGGTTTATCTCTCAGCAACACGAGGCCTCTATTATGTATACATTAAAGGAATATTTCACCCCAATATGAGCATTTGTATATAAATTACTCATCCTTCAATTTATACCCTGAATTCTCGAAGAAAAATGTTTGTTCTAGCATGCCTCGAAGGTAAAATCAGAAGAAGTTAACTGAAAAAAGAACGTATAGATTTGAATGAATGGGGGCCATGTTTCACATAATCCGTTTACAAACTCACAAAAAAACTCCTAATATAAATATATATAGGCCTAACATTTAAATTAAAAAAAGAAACCCTCTTAAAGTTTTAGGAAAATACAAATCTGAACACCTCAAACACTTGGCAAACCTTATCTTCTAGTCTCAACCATAGGGTCTCAACCCTGAATGTAACCCTGAATGTCTCATGCAGCCTGGTGTCAATACACTCATTGACCTGTTGTTACATAGAGTAATGAGGGGCTTAGGTTCAAACGGGTTGGAAAAGGAGCAGTTACTAAACCTTTGGACTGCACTTAGTATATGCATTAACCTCCTGTTTATAGCCTCCTGTTTGAACCCAACAAAGCGTGAAAACAAGGCGATGGTGTTTGTTTCCTGCTTTGTCTCCCTGTGGGCTCAATTAGATGTTCTCTGCACCCTGGTGAGGGACCTCTTCATACCACTTTCAGGGGGGAAATATTGGGCGCTAAGACAGTATGAACATGTAGGCAAGCATGCACAAGGTAGTTTAGAGATATTTCTTTCATACCTGTACAAACATTGTGCGACTCACAGAAGCATATCAGCTTTAGTTGAGCTCCATGTATATGGAGGCTAACATGATGTGTGCGTGAAACCCATTATGTGCTAGAGTACAGGCTGGAACAAGTTATCTCACAGACTGTATATGGGTGGCGGTCTGAATGTGCAGGTAGCAATATGATTACCCCCATCAAGGAGGTGATGTTTTTTTTCCGGCTCAGTTTGTCTGTCTCTCATTTGTTTTTCAGCAATATTACCAAAAACTACTAATCTGATTTTATTGACACTTGGAACAAGTTTGTTACATGGGCCAAAGAAGAACCAATACATTTCAGAGCAGATCCTTGCAACAGAAGGTATGTTTGAATTTCGTAACACTTCAAATGAGGTGTTTGTGCTCCATGGATGTGCTGTCAGATCATCTGAAAAAGGTGTCTCAAATCCAAGCAAAAACAGCCATGAATGTGTTGTGAAGCTCAGAGCGAAAACATATAACACAACTTCTTTGTAGAATC